AATTTCGACAGGTTAAACGGTTGTCAATTATCCGACATCGCTGATTGGGGGGGGGGGGGGTTGGGCCCCCAAACCATCATAATTTCCGCTACTTATGTTCAACCTAGCGCTCAAGCTTTGCTGTTCGTCTGTTAGAATATTTCCTTGAAGATCCTCCAGTGGGGCTCTCTCTCTTCTCTTTAGTGCCATATCGTGAGACTTTGGTGATCATACTTTGCCACATTTCTCTGTTCTTAGTCATGTATATTAGATCTGTCTTCTTGATTGTTATACCATTTTGTTTGGATCCTTCCAGCTAGGCTATTCATCCACAGTATTCTCTGCCTTCCCCTGCTTCTCTTCTCCTCTATCTTTCCAGTTAGTGCCAAGTTCTCAAATATCACTTTCCAAAGCACATGCCCCAAGAAGCGCAACTGCCTCATTCTGATATCCTTAATAAGCCTTCTATTTACACCGGCTCTTGCAAGAACTTCTTCGTTGCTCACCTTGTCTGTCCACGGTATTCTCATCATCTTCCTTAAGAGCCACATCTCATAGCTTCCGAGGCGCTTCTTCAAATCTGCTGTTAATGTCCAAGCCTCAGCCCCACAGTCAGGGGCTGTCTGGCGTCAAAATCGCAGGGTGGCTAGCAAACTCAAAGGGCCCGGTTAAGGGCGTGGCGGAAAAAGTTGGACCGCACCCACTGAAAAAGTAACCTTAAAATAGGGTTAATTCAATAATCGATTTAGTTCGCAGCAGCATATCGATTTTAGTTCGTAAATTCTGACCCAATTGGATCCATACCTTTCCTCTCGTGTAAAAAGACCTTAAAATTTTATGTAGAGTTAAAAATCAAGATAAAAAGAGTGTCATTACACATTTATATGCATTGTAGAGTGAGTGAAGAGTATGCTGCTAAGTGCATGTTGTACACTCTCATTTATAACAACCAGTAACTTTAGGTTCAGGCTGACTGTTTTTTACTTTTTACAAATTTCTCTTAACTTTAGGCTGAATTTTTCTTAATTTTTTCTAAAATTAATAGCGTGTAAGCAGTGCGATGGATAGCTTTTCCACTCTAGGGTGGTGTTCAGGCATCATTTGCCAACAAAGTTGATGAGAAAACCTTCATTTGACGACAAGTTTGAATATTCGCCGAAAAAGCACCCACACATGGCTAAAAATCCTCGTTTTTGGGATAAAATGTTGTTCCAAATTGATTTTATAGTAGCTCAGTCTAAGCCTGTTCTTGATTTGTTCTCAACTTTTGACCAACTTTGATGCTCGTGTTTTTATAAAATTGTTTTTTAAATAAAAAAGAAGGTCGGTAAAAAGTTTTGAATGCGCAAGGTATGTACAGTTGGCAAGCTTCTACCCTTTTAATACAGGGTGTCGATGTCGACTTTGGGGTCCTTTCTCTCTTTGCGAATCCCCACCTTGAAAGTCACAGTTTTCTTCTCCAAATGTTTCTTCTCGGAGAGCTTGCTCCTTGAAATCATCTTCTTTTTCTGGATCTCCATTTGGACTAATTGTTGTTTCTATTTGAGCGATATGCTGCTGGTAACAATTTGTAAATGCCAGCAGCTCTTCCCTGCGCATTTCCAAGCTGACATTCGCTAAACGAGTAATCTTGAAAAGAAGGCTTTTGCTGCTCTCCTGCATCATCTTTTTATCAACAAAACTTCTTGGCTCTAGCATTGCTAAATCCTGATACAGATTTCTATTCTTTGCGAATCTGTCAATCTCTCCCCATCTAAGTTTGAAGCTGTAACCAGATGGTAGTGATGACTCCTTTACCTTATTTTCCCACATTGGAGCCTCCCCTCTCCAGTAATTGAAACATATGCTTTATATCCATGCAATATAACATTGTACTAAGTAGGAAGAAATACAATGCCAGCCGCCCTCCCGCCAAAAAATATAATACGAGTTTCTTTTCCAAAGCATGTCTCTGATGGATTAAAAATGTGACTTAAATCAATTCCTAACTAAAACATGGATGTTCTTTAATCAAGCTTTGTTGTCAGTTCCAGGTCAAGTACCCTGGGTACCAGAGCCACATAAATTCAAGAGCCGAAATAGAAAATAGGGTTACGATCCTCCGCTCCTTTGTTTGGCATTCTGTTTACGCGCTCGAAATTTTTGTGGCTCTGGTACCTAAGGTACAGAAGAAATAACAGAAACTAGAGTTTGAATGGTTTGAAGTACTTGTATCGGGAATTTAATCGCAAAGTAATCAGCTAGGACATTTAATCTTTGACATGAAATTAAAAGATTTTCTACAACGCGGGAAGGGCCTGTAAAATTTTTCGCCACTTCGCCACCCGGCCCAGACCGCCCCTGCCCATAGTACAGGACAGGATAGACATAACAGTTTAGCAAACGCAATCTCGTTGACATACTCATCTTGCAGTTTCTCAAAATGTTATCCAATTTTTAAAATGCAAATTTTGCTAATGCTACCCTTCGTTTGATCTCTGCAACACATCTAGCATCTTCGGTTATTAGACTGCCTAAATAGCTAAAAGACTAGACTTGTTTAATTTTCATCAGCGATCCTTTACTCTCAGCGTGAACAAAGGACGTTCCCTTTTCTTTGAAACGACTAAACATCCTTTTTTTACAGTCTATAGTTAGACCTTTTTCACTCTCTATTACGACAACATCAAGAAGCTTTTGTAGATTACTTGCAGATTCGACTGACAAAACTGTGTCATACTGTGTCAGACCTTTCTCGTTATTTATCTCTCTCAAGATTTTTTCAGCGTAATAGTTGAAAAAATTTGGCGACATCACATATCCTTGTCTAACTCCTGTCGCAATATCTGTGTAGTTACTGTATTCACCATCGACTCTAATGCAAACAGATTGATTCCAGTAGAGATTCTGTAGCAATTGAAGATCTTTTCCATGCATATCCAACTTTTTGAGTTCCTCAAACATGTAATCATGACGAACTTTATCAAACGCCTTGCTGTAGTCAATGAAACAGATGAACACATCTCTTTGCATTTCCAAAGCTCTTTTTGCTATAATCCTCAGCACAAAAAACACATTCCTAGTTCCCTAGTCTTTCCCAAAACCGAACTGCTCTATATTCCAATCTCTGGTGAAATTCTGTTTCTAGCTGTCATGAGGAGGATTCTCAAAATGATCTTCGTTATGTGACTCATGGTACGGTATTGCTCACTGATATTTTCGGAAGAGCTATGAACACAGATTTTCTAAAATCATCGGAAAATTTTCCATCATCATACATTTTTTTGATTATCAAACATTTCCATCATCATACATTTCAGTGGGGCTACTTTTCTTTATACTGATACAACGTTTGATTTCTTCGTACATTTTACAAGTTTTGATAACCCCTTATGCTACCGACGTTTATACGAAAACGACTAGGAGTTTTCTTGCGATCTATCTTCTTCACACAAATTTTAATCTTGCAGCCAATCAAAGAATGGTCAGTGTCACATTGAGCACTCTGATAAGATCTCGTGTGTAAGATTTCCTTTAAATGGGAACATCTTGTCAGCACAAGGTCTGATTGGTGCCAATGCCCAGATCTCTGATGCTTCCAAGATGTTTTCCTCAAACTTTTTCCCGCAAAGAAGGTGTTAGTGATGCATAGATTATGGTTTGCACATACTTCCAACAATAGTTGTCCGTTATAATTCATATTTCCGACGCCATGTTTCCCTAGTATGCCTGTCCAGTTTTCAAAGGAACGTCCAGCTCTTGCATTTAAATCGCCGAGTATTAGAGCTGTTTCTGTTTGTGGGACTTTTTCTATCTCTTTTTCAAGCTCTAGGTAGAAATTAAACTTATTCCGTCGTCAGCCTGGAGAGCGGGTGAATATACACTAAAAATCGTTACAGGGCCTTTAGTAGTGTGAACCTTCAAAGTCATAAGTCTGATTGTTTTAGCCATTAGAATTTCAAAGAAGGGTGTAATATTTTTTCGTATGGCAAAACCAACTCTGCCCTTGTGGCTTCCCATGCCAAAATATGGTATAAGAGCTCTCCTTGATTGAACCGCTTTCTGGTAGGCGAGTGTCAGATGAAGCAGCAATATCAACGTTAAGCCGATCCAATTCATGATTCAGTAAAGCCGTTTTCCTTTAATTCCTAGTCTGCATTAGAGCCAGGGGTCAAAGTCCGTATATTCCAATAAGCAAGAAATTTGATTTCAGTTGATTCAGGATTTGTTTTTTTGGAGAATGGCTTTTTAGCCCACCTTTTCTAGGACCGTCCTCTGATTGATCTGGGAGCAGGCCATCCCTAAATAGGTGTGCTTGGATATCTTGGTAGCTGCCTCAGGTTTCCTTCTGCCACGTACGGAATCCTGCGACCATCACATCAAAACCTTCGACGACCACGCCTAGGCACTTAGTATGGAAGATGGGAGCTGTCTTAGACCTTCCATCCCCCCTTTTGGCTTTTGTGACATTATCCAAAGGTGAGACAGTGTCTGGACGTTCAGTTTCACGTCAGCTGTAGCTTCTGCCAAAAGGCAATGATAAATTTAAGCCAACTGCCTATCGCCTCAGCATGGGCGCTTTTTCCTTCTGGTGTGGTCCCCTAGCCTTTCTTTAGCCACGAAGTACCCACAGGGCAGTGGGGGCATGGGTTTTAAGGCGCCCATAGCTCGCCTTACTCTGGAGGCTGCAACTCTGTGGTATTTTAAAGGGACCACCCCGCCACGAATGGTCCCACCACGTTGTATCAATCTCTACAGTAGGATGCAGTTAAATGTCACACCCAGGACTCAGGGGTATTAGGGGTAGTAAGATTCATTAAATGTAAATGTGTACACGAGAACAATTAGGAGTTTTGTTGCGATATATCATTTTCATTAAATGTTAGTGTTTGAATATAAATTAGTAGAAAAGAAGGCTGATTCAAATATATTCAAAGGGTACCAGTCCCTTTCTAGAAGTGAATTGGAAATGCATTTTTGCCACACAAGACTCACTAGCTGACCAATGAGCTGACCTGACCTGACCACTGTGGTCAGCTGACCCGTTCCACTACCTCCTTTTGTTGGCGTACCACCTTAACCTATAAACAGTGATTTTGATGAGGAAACAATAATTATTTAACGCCATTGAAAATGGGAAAACGTAAAGGCGAAGAAAGTTCAGAGGATCATTTAGAGACTGGTAAATCAACACACTATCGTCCTCTTTTCATTGCAACTCATGCTTGTCGAATTAGAGTAGTGTCCGTCTTCTGGCTGCAAGGCAAAATGAAAGTGGAGATCTTGAAAATTATATCTCTGCCCCCGCACAAATCATAAGGAAACTGTGCATTAGGATTGCTTCTTGGTTTTCCATTGCATTGATCATATAAGCTTTACTTTACTTTTCGTGGTAGCATTTTACAAATTAGTTGCACACAAAGCAGTTAAACTGAAAATCGAGAAATTACGCTACTAGGTGGCTATTCGAATGGCTTTCTAATGGAGTCAACCTTTTCTGTCTAGTAGAACAGCTGCCTGGCCAATATGACTATTTGCTACCAAAATTCAAACAATAAAACACAGTGCAACTAGCCCAACTATTCAAACAAAAGTTCCATCCTAAGCCAGTCCCCAGGCTCAAGGCTGCAGAGTGTAGCATGTGCACACACAAGATTCTGTCAGAGGTTTGTCTAATGCACACAAAAACATAGGGCTGCACACACATTCTTCTGGGCACTGCAAAATTTTTAAGGAGCACGCTTTATGAATCTTTGCTTTCCTATCTTGGTCTTAACAACAGTTTCTTTATAACTTTGAATGCTGATGAATGGGGATTTTAGTAGGCATAAAACAACTTTAATTTACTGTCCATGACTAAATTAGAAAACGTTGCTGTCTGTTACCAAATTAGAGAACATGTACCACTTATTTGCTATGTGCATTTTGTGAGCAGATTGACTTTTGTCTTTATGATGCTATCCTCCTGTTTTGAAAAACTCTGGCATGCAAATGCATTGAATGAAATATGAGGCATAGCTTTTCAGGTTTGCTCACTGAAGTCTCAAAGCTATGTGAAATTAGAAGCAGAGAGGACAATTTTTAAGGGCCATGCCCTACAGATTACCACAGAATGGCCCTGGATTCATCCTATATCTAATTTTTTTGATTTGATATTTTGAAATGACCTATGGTTGCCCTAATCAATTGATGCCCAGAATTAAAAATCTACTGACTAGCATAATTCTCTGAGAAACTACAGTCTTGAGTTTATTCTCAATTTCCAAAGCAATGGCTGGTAAGAAGAGGCCTTGACAGTTACTAAGAAAGGGCATAACAAGGTCTGAATCAATGAAAGTAAGATTTTTTGGGAAACTACGGTATCTGACTTGTGCTCAAGCATGATTTACTCTTTTGGGATCATTCTGTGGACTGAATTATGTTGAAATCAACTGACTGAGTGAACTTTTAGGGGGTTGCATTTCAACCCCACACCCTCACCTGGAAGTTTGACTAAGTACAGGAAATAATTGAATTCTAATCATGCAAAATATATGATTTGTCTCCATGCTAAATTGTGATCTGAAGTCAAAATTTTGTGGAATGCTTGAAAGCTCTTTTGCAGAAATAATTTCTGTGCACACATTTTCGAGACATATTGAAAAATACTTTGCCCATTAGAAACTTGCTGTGCACATTGGATCAAAACTGAACAGTGTGCACACATTGCACAACTTTTTCAGCACTATTTGCACACAGGCACACATTTATATTTGTTCTTGCACACCCAAGATCTTGTTGAGAACTGCCACGCTCTGCAGACTGGCCCAAGCTGGAAAACTTGCATAAGCTGGCAGCTACGCTCAATGTCTTACACTTGTTCTTAACCTACAATTTCAAATAAATTCATATATATACTATATTTTATACTATAAGCATGTGAACTATATACTAGCATCATTTGTGGTCACCCAGACTGGAAACTTTGTCATGTGCCTGCAGTATATTGCCTTATGACTTACAAGTCTGTAGTTAATAAAATTGTTCATTATTAACACTTTCAATTTATAAATGTGTGTGATTTCAGGTGGGCAGTGGATTTTCTGTGGTGTAACCTAGATGGATTCCATCCAGGGCTCTCAGGCCACAGTGTTGGAATTATGATGACGCGATGTTTTAGTTACCCCCATCATAGGAACAATGGACAGCCTTTTGATTGTTGTGTTATTGCTATCACCAACACCTCTTTTGTTTTACCATATAGCACGTTTTTTGTCTTCCTTGTGTACAGTTGTTCTGTTGTTGTGATCACCGTTTTTTGGTAGAGAAAGTTTTCGTTACCATTACCTATTTTTGAGCTTGTCCACATTGTTCTAATCTCAAAACGTTTCTTTGATGGCATTCACTTATGTTGAAATAGTCAACCCTTTTTATAACTGTTAAGAGGAGTGTTTCAAAGTTAGATGAGAAATCAGCTATTCTATTTTAGGTTCTTTGCATAAAAAATCAAAGCACAAACATAAAAAACACAAGAAAAAACGAGAACGCTCATCGTCAAACAGTGAAGAAATAGATGTAGTTGGTTTTGATATGAAAAAGGAAGGAACAGCAGGTTTTGGATCATTGAAATTGAAGATCAAGTTTGGAGGAGAAACAGTATCAACAACTCAGTAAGAGAATATTTTCACTGTGACTGTTTTTCACTAATGTCACTGTAGTTGCCAAAGCTCCTTGAATATGAAATTAACCTAACAAGCTTGAATGAAAACAACTGTGTCAAAACAAACAAACAAACAGCAAACAAACAAACAAACAAAGAAACAATTGTTATTCTGCACTAGAAACAACTTCAGAGCTCAATTTTAAAATGAAATTCTCTTAAAATATCTTTGCACTGTTAAAACACTTCTAACCCTTGTGTGATGTTTTGTGGGTTTCACATAGTTTGTAGATATGATTTGTATCAATTTGTGTATCTACTTACTTTTGTGTATAGAACAGGATGGTTCTTAATGCGACCATCAGGCTAGTATATATAGCTTTGCCTATACGGCATTGAGCACTCTACGACAGACTGGTAAACAGTCATTTTCATTTTGTGTGTATATATCCAAGTTTTTAGCAGACAGGTTTATCAAAAAAAGAAATTTAGGTATTCAAAGAGACTTTATACCGCCCTGTTTCTTATTAGAAGGATATTTAATTTAGAGCAGGAATTTTTGTCTGTGGTTGATTGCGTTTGACTGCATTGTTTTCTATTCTCTTGAATTTTGATTCCTATCTCTCATCAGGCTGTTCTGTTTTGACCTCTTACTGAGATTGACACACCTTTGAAACTGACACACCTTTGAAACTGACACACCTTTGAAACTGACACACCTTTGAAACCAGCATATGTTAGAAATTGATAAACCTTTTAAATTAGCATGCCTTTCTTAGTATTGTTTAAATGCAAGTCTGACCAGAATAAGTGAGACATCATTTGCATTGATCATTAATCGCAAAAGGCTAAGGCCGGATCCATGAAGAGCCCCCACTTTTCATGTTATCAGTTTTAAAATCAATTGTGCTCTCCCTGTTTCAAAAGTAGCTCCCATACAAATTTCATGCTGTCTGTGCCAAAGTGAGCTTATAAAGGGAGAGTCTTTTACTCTCAGCACATTTAAGCCAATTTGTAACAGGTTCAACTGATTTTGTACATTTGGAGTTGTTCTTTCATTTACTTTGCCCAGGTCCCAAAATTGAGAAGTATGATTTTTGATTTCTGCACTTAGCTGTTTTGTTTTAGTTGTGTGGTTTTTCCAATGCTTCCTTGTTGCTTTATATCATAATTGATGGTGCAACTTATGGTTTTCAAATCTATGAAGTGGAAGAGAAATTTTGTATCTACAAATTGGTTGATAATGTTGGCTTTCAGATATATCCTATTTGTAATTCAGTTACAATTGTTTTGTCTTGTTATCTTGCTAGATTTATAAATGTGAAAGGAAAGGAGCTGAAGACAGAAGAGCCTCAGACTTACAAAGAAAGCAGCTTGTACACCCAAACAAAACTTGCTTCTATACAGATAGTGGAACCGAATATTGAAGAAGAAAATGATGATGATCTTGATGATTATGATGATGTAGAAGGAAGTGAAGATATCAACATCAGTCACAATGATGACTCTTTACAACAAGGTGAATCAGTTGCTTTTTTGGTTAAAGGCTAATGGCATATATAAAAATGTGAATGATGCAGTATAGTAGCCTCTTATTGACTATAAGTTTATGATAGTGTTCATAAAATCAGTTACCCAGCCAGTATTCAAATTGAAAGCTTCTGAGAGTGGAATGGGACTTTCTCTCAGATTTAAGTATTTGAAGCTTGAGCCCCTAGAATCACTCAACCATTGATGGGAACTACTTGTTGGCAAATTACTTCCTGTTCAAGATTTTTAAAATAAATATTGTGAATTGAAAGGGAGCATGATATGTAAAATAACTAATTCAACATTTACTAGGTAAAGGCCTTAAAAAACTTGCTTTTTGAAATCCAATTGGGCATCTTTTATCAAATATTTTACTCTAACTCATGCCAAAATATAGAACCCAAAAAAGTTTATACTGTACCAAGACTGATGTTGTCTTTTTTTCAAAGACAACTTCAAACAGCTGTTTGCTGGTTGAAAACGTCATTGCTGCACAGAGCGCCTTGCCTGTAATGAAAGGTTTTTAAAATGACTGTTTTCAAGATTTGAATCCTCAGAATGGTGGCCAAAAATTGAATGCCTGTGGACAAACTTCAAAATGATAAGTGTTGAAAATGAGAATCACCTCCAATGCGTCAAGAACAAACTGCAATGAATTATGTATGTCTGATAATTTGCACCAGCATATGGTCCTTCATCGGAACAATTGTGATGGGTGGTTCAGAACAATAGCCAGTTACGTTTTGATTGATACCTGTCACTTCTCTACCATTTCAGATTTTTCTACTCTCTTGAGTGCCAGAACATTATACGATGCTTGCACTACTCAGTCTAACCGTTCACCTTTTTTCCAGGTCTCGAGTACAACGAGTTTGCAGAGGACTTGGACGAATCTGTCTCTGACGTCATTTCCCAAGATTCAACTATTAAAGAAGAGTAGGATTCTCTATCCTTTTCTGTTCTTTCTTTCAATTTCCGTTGTATTCAAGTTTGTGTTTTTAGGATTTTCGTCTTAGATAAGATATTCTTTGTAAAGGAAAGCTTCGTGGTACTGCCAAAATATATCTTTCATTTGTGGCTTGGGGAGATGCTTGGCCTCTTTTTATTAATTGTGAATGTATGTTAATTACATTTCGTTTGCAAGATGTTTTTATGTCACGTTTCTAAACCAATTATTTAGGAAATGTTATATAGATCGAAGCCTTTAAAAGAAGCAATTAATCAACTGGACAACAAATGCAACTTCTTGCAATGTCGTGTTGTAGCAATGAGTTTCGTGGGTTATGATTATGATTAAAACAAAGCGGTTCTTGTTTAGTGATGACGATGAATCGAAGTGGCTGGATGCGCTGGAGTCTGGAGAGCTGGACGACTATGGGAGATTGAAGAAAGAGAAAGACGTCTCATTGATGACGGCGAGACAGGTGAGCAGTATGGATATTGTTTATCAGTTGATGCATCCAATAATTTGGTCAGTTTGAATAACAATTCACAAAAACAGAAGACTGATTGTAGAATTTTTCTGTATATCAGATTTGTGAAAAATCAAAACAGTGACATTGATAAAAATTTATTTCAATTGAGATAGGAAAGCATCTTTACATTTAAGCAGCATTCAATGTTATTTTGTTTTCACCAGAGGGCGCTGTATGGACACCTGGTTGAAGGAGAGACAGAACTTCTCGAGCTGCCAACATGTATGCTTTAGATGCTAAGTTTTTGTTTTGATCATCGATTTGTATTCACCTTTATTGGCAAAATGAATGCTCATTTGAATCGATCTTTAAATCTGACTGGTCGCATTACCAAGCTAAGACCCTGTTCCCTTTACGCCGTTTTCGTACGAAACAAAACTGAATCGATTCGTTTTTGATTTTGCATTCCATTAATTCTCTGGTAAATGGATATATTTGATACCAAACTGTAGGTATTTGAATGCTATATTCAAAATGGAGTGATTTGAAAACGATTTGGAACCGTAAAAGCGTGATGTCATTAGAAAACGAAGTTATTCATCCTCAGTTTCAAAACAAGTCCTTATATGGAGCAACGAGAATACATTGGTGAACCCCTTCTTTTTCGTGTTAGCGTCTCTTGATGAAAATGGAGTTGGCCGGAAAAGGCACTCTATGCTGGGGGTAAAATATGCTTGGTTTGTCCCTCTATTCTATTTTAAAGTTTTGTTTCTCATTGTACTGGATTCTTACCGTCATTTTGTTTTGTTCCTGCCCGTTACTTTTAATCACATTACTCATTCAGGATGCTTGGAATCCTCTGGACAGCCTATCACGTTATCTTCCTTCTGACGTAAATTGTCGCTATGCATAATGTAATTTAACAAATTTTTGTTTACTCTTTAGGGGCAAAAAGGAGAGACGAAAATTCGGAGGAAGCACAGTTAAGAAGAAAACAGAGAGCAAAGAAGAGAAAACAGCAAATGCAGAAACAGATCGAAGAAACGAAGGTAATTTATACAGAAATCCGTAAATGGAAATGTGAGCAATGCCCGCGGGATTTCACGGGATAATGATAAGAGACCTTGCTGTATCTGTACCTTGATTTTGTCCCTTTTTAGGCGCAGACGATTGACAAACTGTTGAATAAGCAAGCAGCAAAAGCAAGGAAGGAAACAAAGGTAATTTTGCCCCGATGACGTCATAACAAAATGATTTTAGAATATTCTAATTCTGACCATGTAAACCGAAGGTTATACAATAATAGTTCTGCATGTAAATAGAAAGTTGAATGTTTTATGAACTGGCCACGATATAGACATGTTGAAACATGCTCCTCCCCCATCGCTGTAAGATTGTTTCGCGAGCCGAGACAAAGTAGCAGTAGCCCTCCAGTAACCCCTTTTGATCTTCATGGCCATATCACTGCCAATTAGTAACTTGTATTTTATTTTGTACTTCTGATGTATTCGTTTAGATTATGCATTCCAAATTAAGAAGTTTTTGAAGCATACTTTCATGATGAAGAATTCTTTGCATTTGCCATACCGACTAACCTTGTACTTTACTTATTAGCTGTCCCACAAAAACAGGAGACATGGAACACACATCAAGTATGCAAATGGTCCGAATGGCATCAGCATTTCCTTATCCAAAGGACTTGATTTCCCGATGAAAGCCCAGCCCCCGAGGTAAGTGCCAATCATTTTGGTTTTGTGCAATGTACTTCACGACTCTTTGATGACGTATTGCTGTTTGCTTTGTGTTAGCTGATGACGTGTAATGTCTACAGGCGTCACCCTTGGTGGCTTGAATATGTCATTTTACTTCGCTTTAAGTTTTGTTCTTCCTCCTGCACATCTTGCTGTCAATCATGATCCCCTTGAGAAGCGGGTTCTTCCCCTAATGTTAGGCACAATGTTCAGGTTTTTCATCCACTGCATTGGTTTTTCTTCGAAATTAGAAACGGATTACGTTTCCTTTTTTTACTGTTTGGAGGACATTTTTTGGATCAGAGATACTCTTTTAAGTTAAAAGCAAACCCTTTTATTACTGAATTTAATAACCCTAGCTTCAATGTTGAGTTTTCAAATGTATCTATCTACGAGGCAACGATATGAAAGTGAAAAATATCCTGAAGCGAAGAAGTAAGCGAGGGACACGACCAGAAAGGACTCGAGCCCGTAGCCAGCAATATCATACGAGCAGCGTTGTCCAATGTACGTGGTAGTCTACGCGTAGACATAAGGGATATTGCGTATTGGCTACCCGTAGACCCAGATTACTAGAATATAAACTCTTACTTGTGACTTAAAGGCAGAATGGTATTGAAACTGTAAATTGTGCCCTGTAAAGATGTGAAAAGTTAGCAATAATTCGTTATAATCTAAAAAAAGTTGGTTGTAGCCAAAGCTGCGCAATGTACCTAGGTAAGCAAAGTTGTGCAGAAGAACTTCACGGGCTGCTGGTCATTTACGTCCATTGGTCATTTGCGCTTATGTTTATTTTCAATGCAAATAATCGCAGGTATAAATTGCTTCTAGTAATGAAGTATACAATGATTTGTCATCAATTAGAAGGAGTTTATTGTAGCCAACTACCCAAAAGTTTTAATCGAAATTATAATGTTAAGATTGTGATTTCCATTAACAATGATTGTGTTAACTTTTAATATAATTTATTTTTTTCTTTTTTAACTAGAGAGCCACCAATGTCGGTGAAGTGTGCCGTCGATGGCTGCTCAAATCAGAAAAAGTATGCTTGCAGTAGGACAAAACTACCTGTGTGTGGAATCGACTGTTACAAGAAAGTGCAGCAACTGGGTCAACCATTGCAAGTAGCGAGTTGATTGGTGTTTGTTTGTTATCACAAATTATTATTATAACGAGTGCCATGTACACGCATTTGAAAGTGTTACCCCCGTCAAGTCCTTCATCTTTATGGGGTTTCCTGAGAAGGCGTTCTGCACCCGTGGAAGACGTTCTTCAATGATGAACGAAGAAATTGGCGTTGCTGAATGGTAGAGATTCTTCCGGTCTGTAATTTCACCGAAAAAGAGTCGTTTGCGGGCAACGCCAAAGATTTTTTATGTGTACAGAACAAAATACCTTTAATGTTTCCAAATGGCATTTCAGGAATTGGCCTCGTTTTACATAAGCATTTTATGGATGCGAGGCCAATTGTTATGCGGTGTTTCTGTAGCTCTATTTGTTAAAGAAAAGAAGAAGATGATGTAAGGGGAGTGTATCAATTAATGCTTGTGCCTGTATTGCTGTCTCTGAATTGGGAAATTCTTGCTTCTTGATACCTAATTTCTTCGTCTTCGCATCGGCTGCTAGTTGAAATCGGAGCAACACGTCATAGAAGACAGATTTTGCGCCTTTAACGTACATGAAAATTTCACCAGCTAATTTACGTTTATTCTATAATAAATTCAAAATGACAAACAATGTACTAAAATATGGTCGAGAAATTGGGCAGTGTCTGTCGATAAAACGATAAAACGAAAAAGTTTGCTCTTGAAAGAAACAGTAACAAATCTTTATATGGATGGTAATATGCATTGGCAATATGCAAAAGGAAGGAAATTACCACTTAAGTACGTCCATCAATTACCCAGCAAAATCATTCAGTTCCTGTGCTGCTGTTCCCAAAGTATCTATTTTTGCTCTTTATTTATGTCTTTCATTTTTTCTCTGTATTACTTTTTCTGTTTGCCCCGTTCTTTATCTGCTGCGTGTGTGTGATAGCTAGAAACATATAAAACAAAGCATGCATGTTGTAAGAGTAGCCCACTCGCTGTACCGTAATATGACGGGTTTAGTGCTTGATAAGTTTTATCTTTGATGGGTTTTATGGAAAACTCATATCAAGCCCAGTCATACAAAGACTTTATCTACCTGACTGAAAATTTCAAACCAATAAAAATAGAAATTGGTCATTTTTCGCATTCACAACCTTGGTATGGAAATTCAGTGGCACTCACTGTTCCGGTCTGCAATATCATATAAAATTATAATTTGTCACCAATATTGACCAATTTCCATAACCAAATTTGGCTGCAATACTGTATTCATGAGGCTCTGGTACCCGGGGTACAAATCACTCTATAGTAGAAATTGGTAAATCCTTACTCAAAAGTGAATTGCACCTCGATAATATGGAAAGTACTTTCGTTCAGGTAATTTATGTCTCTAAGAAGTTCCTATCACCTTTCGGTTTTAACCACAGCTAAATTTTTAAAAATTTTCCGACAACAATGATTTTGCCGAAAATCCGTAAAATTTTGAAACAAGAGGGGTCACAGCCCCCCTGCCCTCCTGCCCCCCGGCCACGACGCCCCTGGAGGTACGAGCTTCGGCGGTATCTGATCCTCTCCAGTAGATTTCTTTCCATCCAAGATTTCTTTCCTTTCCATCCATTTCTTTCCTTTCCATCCATTTCTTTCCTCTCAAGCAGATTTCAATAGTTCCATAATTTCTTGATTGTTTGCTTCTTGAAAGGAAAATTTGTTGATTTTTATTCATGATTTTGAATGATAGCTAGGAAGCTATGGTGGTTTTTATACTTGTTCAGAATAAATCGAACAATTTGGCGGTCATCAGAAATTCCAGTATCATTAGCGAGGTTAACGGGCTTCTTACCGCTGGATTTCTCAACTATGTTTACATAGTAATCATTAAAGATCTCTGTCAGTTTTTGATCATTTGCTATAACAGTGTCGTTTTTCACAAGACAAATATCGCTATTATTTGAAAGAAAAGGTTTTACGAGGTCCCAGAATTCTTTATTGGAAAGTGTACCATTTTTCGCCACTTTCAAGTGGTTTTCATGGCTTTTTTCTTAGAGAAACACATTTATTACGCTGCTTTTTAAATTTCCTTCTATTTTCTTGGGTAGGGTTTTTAGAAGTCTTTTTTGAACCTTGATCTAGTGTAAATTGCCTTCTGTAATTGTTGACTCATAAAAGGGGCAGTATTTCCTCTCTGAATCTTAGTTTTCAAAGGAGCATATTTGTCAATAAGTTTTCGGAGCGCAGATGAAAGATTCCTATAAGACAGATCTGCATCATTCGAGTCTGCTTTGAAGTCAGTATTCCTCACATCTTGCAAACAATTTTCTGAGTCAAAATTTTTATAGCTACGGTATTTAATAATCTTAGGTTTTAGGCGAGGTATGTGAATTTTCATTACAGTTAAAATCAGACCATGAAAGTCACTTAGGCCAGTTTCAAAAACTGACATATTTTGAAAATATCTAGGTTTATTTGTGAGCATGACATCGATTGACGAACAATTATTCTTCGTGAAACAGGTTTTATCCTTTACCAAATTAGATAGTCCAAAAACATCACAGAACGAAATTAACTTTGTGTATCCTGGATGATGAATATCACGAGTAGCAATGTTTATATCACCCACAATCATAACATTATCATATTTATATAATGCTGAATCTAAAGAGGAAGACAGTTCAGGTTGACAGAAGAGTACTTCCAGGTTGGCTAAAAGATGCTAATAATAGCCCATCTCTTTTTGACCCCATCTTTCGGACACTCAAAAGTAGAAAATCTTTTATAGACGACCCCTTTCCTAATAAATTGCATCAGGCCCCCGCCAAATTCATTCCTATCACGACGAATCGGTTCTTGGTAGTTATTCATGAAAAAGGTCTCGGTTTTGAAATTTAGTTTTGTTTCTTCTACTACCAAAATATCAGGCAGGCATCTTTCCATCACCATTCTCATATCAATTATTTTGTTTCGGAGACTATTTATATTTAAAAATCCAATTATAGGATTATTTGGAATTTTAGTTCTCAGATTAAAGATAAAATATTTTGATGCGTGGATCCGATTGAAGATGCAGAAAATGAAAGATCCGCACTTTTATCAGAAACCCTTGAGGTAAGATTGGATGGGGAGGAAGGTGGAACGATTGAGGCAGGTGACTCACTCTCAGTTTGAGATGGCGAAATACTACCTAAGGTTGGACTTAAAGGTTTTGAATGTTCATCGTTTTGGTTCTTTTCTGAAGAATCTGGTGAAATACCAAGGTCTAGTAGGCACGTTAACGTATCAGACATTAAACAACCTGAAAATAAAATGTGATCAGGACTTACAAATTCGTTACCTTCATTTGATGACTTCGATATGCGCGAATAAGAAATACGTTCACATAGTCAAACAGCATTAAGGTAATTTACAAAACTGCTCCCTAAAACATTTGTACCTTCATTTTTTACCTTCATTTTTTAAGTGAATGCCATCTTGGAATAACAAATATGGCCAGCTTTCATCCAATGTTTCATGTTTAATAAACGATATCTGACTTCCTGCAAGGTGTTCTTCCAAAAGCGAATTTACCGTTAGCCTTTTACCTTCCATTAGGTCTGTGTCTCCTCGTGCCAAAATGCTGGACACAGCAACGTTTCGGATCATTCTTTTCGAGTTTATAGCAAGTCTGGTGATCTTTTTCGAAATTACATCAAGATCATCTCTTCTTAAATCATTGCAACCGCAGTGAATAATTAGATGATCTGGCTCTCTCTTCAGCGTTGTTATCTTCAGCGGGATTATATAAGATTCCATATCATCGGTAGTTGCGCCTGGGAAAGTTTTGACGAACGTATTCATGTGTCTAACACTTCGATTTATTTTCTGTTTCCGATTTTCCTTTTATGATTGAATCACCGACTAAACTAACTGTTGGTCTTTTCCTGGTAAAACGTCGAACCTGTGTGGTGTTAGGCCGCGTTTTTGGCTGAGTTTTAACAGCTTTTCCAAATCTTAGACTTTCGTCACTGGTTTCGACCGTCTGCGGTGGCAAGTCTATTTGCACTTAATTTTGTTGTGTTTGGTTGCAAAACTCTCCAGACCGAGGGGCGAATCACTGCTTAAAATCACGTACGCTCTCAAAAATAATCACACTTGAATCACAAATTAATCACATTAATCACAAAAAATCACATTAATCGCATTAATATCATATTAATCACAAAAAATCACCAGTAACATTAAGCGCAAATATTTGAATCTTTGGTCACGTATATTCGCCTATGTAGTTGAAAAAATTAAATAACCGTTACAAGGTTTTCCACACTTTTATGCACATGTTTAAAACTCTGCTAACACACTCGAGAACATGAGCATAGATGAAGGCCTCGCTCTCACGCCGCGGTCGCTGAAACAGCTACAAGATGAAATATAAATATGTTGCCGATTTTTAAGTACTTCCAAGATGGGGCGTTGGGGCTAGGTGTGACACCCGGTGGGCCCCTTTCAAGTGAGTTTGTAAAACCCATGACAAACAGACCTCTGTGAAAGAGATGCGTGAAATATGAACAGGGCCGCCGAGAGGGGGACAAGGGAGTCTAGGGTTTAGGGGGCCTCTTAAAGCCAGGAATTCCAATATAAGAACTAAATTTTAACGAAACGCAACAAAATATACCTAAAAAGTTGTAAAACGCGGTAAACAACTGTAAAAGGTATTCTACCATGTATTTCAAGCTAATTTATATGGCGTGGCCCGAAAAATGTTCTTGTTCGCTTCGCTCGCAGTCCGAAGTGTTTTGTCACGTTTGTGTTTGTATCAAATGTGCACTATGTGCAATTGTGCATTGGATTTGTTCCACATTTTTTGCAGTCTTGAAGAGACTATGGTTAGAGAAAAGAGGATACACCCCAACAAATGAAGCAAATGAACCTTTAAAGTGATAAAAACTGGCATCTTTTTACTTTTCGTAGGTGCATGGTTTCCTGGTACGTACCATTTTTTGCGACATATGGTTTTTGATTGGAGATGTCATACAAATGAGCAGGCCATCTTATGATCATTTTCTCCCGGCCATTTTCTAGGGGCCCAACGTCCCTGTTCTATACTCATTCCCCGTTGATTGCTGATCTACGTAACAAAACTCTCTGCCAAACTGCCATGATAGGTTGTCATTTCATTCATGAAATACTGTTTAATTTGACCTATGACTTGGCTAAACCATTATGTATTTTCGTTTTATTTATGTATCTTGCCCTATGTCGCCTCTTCAAACGGGTTTGATTGCACAAAAACCTATTTGAAAGCACTTTCGAATATGTGATTAATTCTTAAAAAGTCACGAATAAATCACAAATTTCACTTTAATCACTAAAAAATCAAATTATTCACAAATTAATCACTCGTGATTTTTAATCTTGTACACCATTTTCAGTAGTGATTTGCCCCTCGCTCCAGACGAATTTGAACGAATTTCAACGGCCTCCGTATGTGTAAAGGTCTGCGTTTTATTACTTTTGGCGATTCATGTTAAGGGTTACTTTTGTCTGTGGCTGTTTGGCGATTCAAATTTACAGCGTCAGTGTATCTATACTCCTCCGGTACAAAAATTGGTTTTAAGGATTCATAAGGCTAATTGTTTATAACTTCATAATCTTCAAGTTGAATCTGTCTGCAATCTTGAAAGAAAATGCTGACGAACAGTGCGCTTCTGGAAGTGCCATAAGCCATTTCCCGAGGAAAGGCCCTCTCTTTCTGGATCCAAAGTGCTAAAGCGTGATGTAGACTTCGAATCATCTCTTGAGATTGTCTGTACTTATTCAAATACCTTCTTTCAGAAGTATCGTCTTTTTTGTCGTGATTCAAAAAAACAACTGTTTTAAGTCCTTTTTTTCTGATCGTTATTCTGAATTTTTCCTGATAGTTTCTTTTAAATCAGCTATTATTAGTCTAGTCTTAATGCTATGAATAAATTTCAAACGAAACAAGTACAGTAAAAAAGCTGTGACCGCCATGAGAGCTGAACTCATACGATATTGTATTTCTTTTTTTCAAACATTTGTGTTTTGCAGTATAACTTTTTGGCTACAGTTAGGCTCAATTAAATTGGTAAATCGTCAACTAGCGACGAGCGAGTTAATGCAGTGAAAATTTCAAAATAATGTAAAACAGTATCTTTGGTGAAATCAAATCAATGCTAGGTAAATGAGGAAGGCAGTTTTTATAATAAAAAGCAATACATCATCCTTACAAGGCCATTTTTGTCCAAATTTACCTGAAAATCTGCAAACTCTTATGTCCTTCCTCGGCCATCACAAAGACCTAACCTTAAAATAAGCGAATATTTCTTGTTGCCAATGAAAATCATTTGATTTGAAATCCACAAGGTTCCTTGAGGTCCAAACAGAAACTGACTTAGAGAGTTTATTGAGAATGAAACAGAATTCCAGTGCATTTCATCAACAAATTTTGTGCATCAATTCCAAAGCAATTTCCCGCACTTATCAGAGTTTGAAGCACATCCACAAAATGTTTGTTTAATCAAAAGTAATTTTCAAAAATAAAAAAATATATATTTGAATTTACGCTTCATTGAACTTTCAGTTTTATTTGCGCGCCATTGACTCTTGTCATGGTGGTGTATTGTAATATTTTATCTGGATATAAAAATGGTACGAAAAATTAGGGGCGTTGTGGCTCCTAGAAAAGAGCCGGGAGAAAATGATCATAAGAGGGCCTGCAATTTTGTACAAGGTTCATTTGTTATTATTTGCTGGGGGTGTATCCCCTTTTCTCTAACCATAGTCTCTTTAAGACTGGAATAATGTGAAACAAATCCAATCCAATGTTGCACACTCGATTCCAAAACAGACGCGATAGAGCACTTACATGCACTGCGAACGCAACGAGCAAAATAATGCTGCGGCCACGCCCTTTGAATTAGCTTGAAATACATTTCATAATGTTTTTGCAGTCGTTTACCACATTTTACAATTCTTAGGCATACTTTGGAGCGTTTCATTAAATTTGGAATTCCTTGCTTCATTAAATTTGGAATTCCTTGCTTTAAGAGGCCCCCTAGAGCTCGAGGCCTTCGGGAAGTTTGCCCCTCCTTGTTCCCCTCTCAGCGGCCTTGTTCATATTCCAAGCATCTCTTTCACAGAGGCCCGTTGTCTTGGATTTTTCAAACTCACTTGAAAGAGGCCCACCTGGAAATTTCCCGGTGTCCTGGCTAGCCACAACGCCCCTGCGAAAAATCATCATATATTGCTGTATCAGAAGGGTCTATCTGCTGGCCAAGTGATATTCCACGAGGTGATCAATATGACGTCATCAAAGGGCCGATTCTCGTTATGAGCATGCGCCGTGTAACACTGAGGATGAAATGAGCTGCATGAAGAAAGCTCCACATGAAAAGTTGGCATGCAGTAATATCGAGGAAGCTGGCTCGTTGTGGCGACATAAGCAGATCAATTAGTATTAGATGGAAAACAGCAAACAAGCGAGACTTCTTCTTAAAAAACAATTGGCAGGTTGGTTGTTTTTATGCCATTTGCGAAACTCGAGTGTTGGGTCGCTAAACTGTGAATCTTACTTGCTGTAACCAGGCCTAAATCTTTTGACATTTTTTGTTGATGCTCCTTTGTTCTTCAGTGAATTGTGTCAAGAACTTTGTTCTTCAATTGTATAGCTAGAAATAATTTGCTTAATACTTCTTTCTTTGTTATTATGCGAGTTTTTCGCTTTTCACAAATTGAATTATTTAGTTTAATAAGATTCCCATGTTCGCAGTTAATTAAGGCAGCCGAATTTTTTTTTTAATTTTGGTCTGAAGAATTTTGAAATGAAAAAATTGTTTGCCAGGGCTCATCATGTAAGATTCTTGTGAGCAACAGGAACTAACAAAAATTATTCATCCAAAATTTCCATCCAAAGTATTATATTTCTAAAGTTGCCCTACGAAATGTCCGCCCTTGGTTGTTTGTGATACCATCTCTAGTGGAATGTTTTAATTGTTTCAGAAACTTGTTTTGTAACACTTGTCTTGTTATAGCAATGAAAAGGAAAGTTTTTCAGGATTAATGTTTTTAAATAGTTTGAAAATTAAATTCATATTGCACAAGCTCATGCCTTTAATAGTGAGAGAAATATTTATATGCTTGTTAATTTTTTCATTTCAGTTCATTGCTAAATTTAGGGAAATAGAGATGTATTGATAAACTAATGTTTATAATTATAATCATATCAAGTTATAAATGCAAATATTTAACTGAAATGAAAAAGCTGCCACAATTTCTGCAACTTCTAAACTCTTTATCTTCAACACAGGCATGTTTGGATTCACCTTTTCATTTACCACAGCCTTCAGCCATTTTTTGCTAGAGAAGCCCTTTAACTTTCTTCAATTATTGCAAAATCCCTTCAATTACTGAAAACTGTCAAAAGTTCTATTCAAACGATGTTAAAGCAATTAATTCTCCCAACTAACTTTTTTGAATTTCTTTACATCTTCAGTTTTTGCTCTGCTACCTTCTTGCACAAAAATTCCAATCTTAATGCTTTATTTTTTTATCAAAAGTGCTACTAGTTACACAGCCTAATTTTTATGAGTTAAGTCTCCGCAAAGTCCACATGCATTCCCTTCCTACAGAAATGTAATCTTAAACAGAGCATATAAGTAAGCTCAATCAAAATACATGTGAAACAGAATTTAATTTCTTGAATACAAGAAACAAATAGTCTAACCATTATTTATCATGGTTTGAAACCGTTGTTTGTTGATGGTCAGAACATGTTTCAAATATTGAATAAGATATTTAAATTAAAGAAAATTTCAATATGAAAATCTCAGTTTCGTATCAGTCTATCCTGTTTGAGGCGGGCTATGATTGTCATCTTCAATTTTTCAGTTATAGGTCAGACCATGAAATGACAATGGTAAGGCAGTAGGTTTCATTTAATATTCATGGTATACCTTGGTTGTAGAACAGTGAAAACCCATGTTTAAGAACCTGGTTTTTTCCAAATTGCTTAAACAGGTTCTTATATGAATGGTACGTAAAGTCAATTTAGGCTACGAAGGTACTTAAGATAGGTTAGGACCTTGGTTAGAACTTGTAGTTATGAAGCAAAATCATAATTTTCATATCATGCAGTAATATAACACCTAAAGACAGTACATACTTAACAAAACAAATACATACTCAAACAAACTCTTAGCAAAATCTCTGAAAAAACTGTTTTATATGGAATACTTGGAATGAATGGAAATTGAAAGTTTTATTGGAATGATGGAAACAAGAGGCACTATTGTACTTTAACTTCAAAGAATAACTGTTTTGCCAAGTTAATTTTAGATATTAGCAGATGATGATACTTTAGTCAGCAGTTTCCAACTAGAAACGTTTACAGCACCAATGGCAAGAACCTAACTTAAATCTTTAGCCTGAAAGGTTCTTATGTAGAAGAGGCCTAAATTTGAAATTTTAGCCTAACAGGGCCTTAAAACCCAGGTTCTTTTATGTTCATTTTTTTCTGTATGTCCATTTCAGTGAATGAACATGGTAAACCTTGGTTAAAACACATTAGCTCATGCTCCAACCATCAACAAAGTTGGTTCTGCTATCGTTTTTTCTCTTTGTTTCTCTAGGGTGTGTGTTTGTCTGCAAGTGAATAAAAGCAGTGAATATACTTTAAAACATTGTTGAATATTTCCTTAGTCTTTAGCCGTTTTGTTGTTTCTCGTTTTAGTTCTGTTTTTGTATAGGTACCACTCAATATGTACAAAAAAGTCAACTTCACATTCTTACAATAGATGCTTATTCCTACCATATATACCAAACAGAAAACAATTTATTGGGACATATTGACTGATTCACCATATCAACCACTTCCAACACAGCACTTGAACGCTTTTAATCATTAAAAGTTCTCAATCTCATCATTCCTTTAAGGCAAAGCTTCAAGCAATCATTATTTTAGCAGAAATTTGCAAAGTGCAAAGATACTTTAGATTTTCTAGTTCACTACAGTTGAATCTACTGAATAATGTTTTGTATGATCATTTTGACATTGGTCATTTGCTCAATCTTTCTTTCGAAGAAATTGAAAACTTTGATACTTTAACAGGCATTCCTGGGAATAAATCAGCACAAGTGTGGCATTTCACACCCCTAGACTGTTTCAGGTGTGTGATGGAGTTCTATTGATACTTTGTCTTATTTCTACAAGGGTTTATTTACATAGTATATGGAGCCTTAAAAAATCCCATTCTTAGGTCTTTTCTTCAATTTTTACACAACTTTAAAAATTAATGTCTCTGATGGCATAACGATAAAGGAAAGCTTATGAATATTGCCAGGGATCTTTACTAAATTTGATACTGAAAATATTTTAGATGCAGTTTCCAGGGCTTTGGTTAAAAAACAAACAAATTATTACAAAATTAGGTGTGCAATTGAACACACTCCCATTGCACGCCTTTCCTGATTGTGGTGTAAGAACTCACAATATCTGTTTATCTCTATAAAATGTTGATCTCTATAAAATCATAGACAAGGTCCCTGTTTCACTGAACACATTGGACAACATGTCATGTGCTCTAAAGTAGGTAAAAACAAAGAAATCAAAAAGATCTGCACGCAGATATCACTGTGAGGCTGCCCTAAAACAAGTGACAAATAAGATTCTACCGCAAAGGCGCTGATTAAAGATTTGGCCCCCGTCTTTTTAAGGTGTCAGTTCAAGATTTTATATAATCTGCTATCAGACTGCATTGAAAAACTTCTTAACTATAATGGAATAATGTTGTTTCAAAGTAGAATAAGGGTAAATACAGTAAAGGCTGTAGTGCATGTGATTCAAAACTGGCCAAAACCCAAGGTTTGGGAAAATGCCCATATTCGGTAAACGCAGCAGGTTTTCGCCATTTACCAAAAATTTTCTCATTACCAGAGGGTAAGGGCAGCTAAATATCATGGTAGCAAAAAGCTCGGAAAAATGTCACCCTTGCCGTAATATACGCCGGGTCTCCAGTCCATCCAAACACAATATTCAGAGACTAGAAATATATAAATTCATGGCTTGTCTCTTTTTACTCACCTATCTTTGTTCGTGACCTACCCCTTTGCAAAAAAGGTTCTGCACCTCAAATTCAAATACATCCGCACCTAACTACCACACCTTTTTCAGCACCTTCTATTTTTTTCTTTTCCACCTAAAAACGTTTCATTACTATTGTCTTGAATTGGATATATCTTGTTTTGTGTTGTTAGGCAAACATAGCTATGTTCAAGATTATATAAGTATATTTTCATGGGCATGGCTGTTTATGGAGAATGTCTATGCAAAGTCCAAAACTCCCTTCTCCAGAATCACCTCTAAAAATCCATAAATTTGCTCTAAATAGACATAGGTTAGGCAATACGGTTATGAAAGAACTGAGTTGTAAATATGTGTTTTTGCACAAATCAGCCCCATATTAATGTTTTGAAGTATTAAAATATGAAGAAGAAATGCCATTTATCACTTGCACAACACGTGATTTGTTAAATAATTGCATGCAAGTATAAACAAACCAATCTCTTTCACTGAAAAAAATCACTTTCAATAATAACACTTACTTTTCAACACTCAAAAAATAGCTTTCATTGTGATGTTAGGCTAAGATTTCACATTGCTGCTACATATGGGGAATGAAAAAGTGAATTAGTTGATGCTTTTTCATAGCAAGTTGATGGAAACAAGTTTTTTTTGAAGTAAGCTTTTGGTAAGAAGCATATTTTGATTTGAAGAACAAAGATTTGCTAATATACAAAATTATTTCTCGTGTCATTTATATTATCAATCCAGTTTTAGTCAATTTTAAATTTATTTTTTATGAAAATTAAAAGCTTCCTGTGTAATTTCTAGACCTGAACAAGAATCCAGTCGATGGGTTTTCAGCTGGGCTCATTGATGATGATAATCTTTTTCAATGGGAAGTCATGGTCCTAGGGCCTCCGGAGACCTTCTAGTAAGTTGACCAAGTTTATCCAAATATTCATTCACATAGCTTATATCAAAGCACTGTGGTAATCCAGCCATTTGTAAGCCTGAAGCCAGTTATTTACCACATTGCGTAATTAATTTATAAATTGTATTTTCCTACTGTGGTTTATTTTTGTTTTGATTATCATCTATTACATGGCAGATAGTGTTTCATTTGTTATGACACCATCCTTTATTAATGATGTGGTTTCCTTCACAATTCATTTGCTAGCTCTTTCGAAGCAATCTTGAAATAAAAACTTAGTGGCTTATTGTTTGTTTATTAACAATCCTATCCAATGTCACAGTTACACAAGTAAAATTTGGCATTTTTCTAAGAATTTAATATCCAATTAACATTTGTTCAATGTCTTTCCTCTCGTAGAATTTGTATGTCAATGTGCTCGCTGTTCTTGAACCTGTTTTCGAACCTGTTTTCTGCAATGAAATATCGAGGAAATTAAACAGATCTGATACATTTTTATCTGCTAATTACCTAAAGTATTTTTGTATACCCCCCCCCCCAATTTGTAGCGGGATCTTTATCGAAGAAGTGAGACGAAGAGAAAAGAACTTCGTTTATGTTTTCTGCTTCATCATCGAAATCAAAAGTCCTTCAACTAACTATGTGCTGAAATATATATATATATATATATCCTTAAGTTAAGTGCGTCATAAGTATCATGATAACGAGGTTAATACTGAAAAGGAGAATATTCCTATTACAGTCTACTCCCCCTTATCGAAAAATAATGAAAGCGAAAGATTACATTTTTTTAACGATTACAAAAAAGCTCCTGATTTAAAGATAATATACAAGTGCCTAAATGTAAGCAACCTGGTTTGTGGAAGTATGGACACAACTCTTCAAATCGATGCATAAGCGGGACGTGCGCATCAGCGACTCGGGGTATTCTAGAATGGGGTCTTTTATGTATGACGTCAAGAGAGAAGAGTAGTACAGTAGAGTCTTTGTGCACGCGCACAGAAGAATCGGGTTTATTGTGAGAGAAATTAGTATGTGCTTGAGGCATGGCAGTGTTGCATACAAAGGAATACAAATGGTCAACAATGGTTTGAATGGCATGACTGATGGCATGGGCAGGAGTGGCGGCATGGGAGGGCAAGGGGGGGCTTTAGCCCCCCCCCCTAGATTTTTGTTAGCCCCCCGTCGGCAGCCAATCAATTTTTGCTTTCTCAATACCGTCGGCACTTGATGGATGTCACCCCGTTTACATGCTGTTTGAATGACATAAATAATCGAGGAGAAAACTGCACTGGCTGGTTTATGGTTTTCTCAATGGCTTTTCTTCGGCAATTTTACTATCATAGTGGCATTATATCCTGTCGCTTCCGTGAAAGCTGTGACTTAATTTCATGGTGCTCCTTCGCATGACCCACAATACCATCGTGCTCCTCTCGGTTGAAATCCCTGTTTCTGCTTGGAATTCATGCGAAACGTGCAGAGATGCTTGATTTGGATCATGTTTTGGACCGTTTCAAGGAAATTTACCCTAACAACAGCAAAATCACGCTGTCATAAATAAAGTCTTTAATGAAATTTCTTCTTAAGGGATTCTCTTTTCGTTTTAAGACATTATTATTGCCAATGAAAACATTTCGATCATGAGCACATTTTGCGTAATAAATTTTTTAAAAAGCACTTCTTGTCCTTTTTCATCAACTATTTTTCAACAGCATTGTTCACCGGATAGCTTGCGACAAACAAATGGTTTAGAGAAAACCATCGATTAACTTCTTCCAACATAGATAGGAAGAAATATTCAACAATAGGCAATATTTGCGAATTAAGATTCTTACAAGGCACAAATTGCCGAGAAAATCTCGTGGTTTCCGACACAGGTTGGAAAGTGGGGGCGGGGAGGGGGCAAGGGAGAATTTTTGCACCCACAACAAACGATTTTGAAAAAATTCTCTATTGCTTGCTCTATATGCTTGCTTGCTCTTGGAAAAATGCTCTATATCGGTGCCCCTTCATTGGAGGTGCTGCTCAGGGGCGTCGCGACTGGGGGATTGTCACATCCACCCCAATAGTGTCTCAATAGGAAATTTCAGGTAAAATCCGCTCGGTGGAAGAAACGCTTTAGGTATTTCAGAGACCTTCCTGTCATAAAATCAATAAAGGATCAAGCAATCTTAGGTAAAATTGTGCCTCGTGTCCATTTCTCCTGAAGTTTCTCAGTAGAAGCGTCAACTGCGATTCACTATGAGCTCCAGATTTTTCTTAACATTCATAAGGCATGCTAAGATGGAGAGAGAGATCTAAATTTAAAAGTAGTTGACAACCTGGTATTTTTCAAGACCACGGCGAAATTGTTGTTTTTATCTGCTGTAAAAAAGTTTTGCAAAAAGACAATCATTTTCAATAGGATTAGGAGGATTGCTTTAGTGAAATCTGCTTAAAAGAGTGCATTTTCCAGGGAACTAGAAGCATCACAATTCGAAAATGTCCTGTCCCTTCGGCGGCAAACATGGTGCCGCCTCAGGTAGTAACTATATATTTTGCCCGTCCCGATATAGAGATTTGACAAAATGTATTGCAGAGGTTTGTGACACCAGCTAAAAAGTTTCAGGCAATAATTTTTTAATCAGGTAAATTTGCACTCAACATCCCCTCCCCCCAACGAGGCTTGCCTCGCGACGGCCCTGCCTGCTATATGGGGCAAATCGAATTTTTTTTCTGTCGGCAATGGACACATCCAGCGTCGGCAGTTACGGAGAATATAAACTTCGGCACCTGGAAGGTTTGTCTCTAGCGCCACCCCTGGGCATGGGTAAATGACAATGTATCGTCATGTGTACCTAGTTTATTAATCGAGTCAGCGTCGCTGTGAACATAAACGTTAGCAGTAGAAACGTGCATAGGCGCAGATATGACGTCATTAGCCAATTTATACCGAGTGTGGGGAGCACTACCTGCAACCAAACTCAGAGGGATGGGACGGCTAATTGGACCTCTTAGGGTTTGCAAGCCAGTGGAAAATAGATGAATTTCCAGGCATTGGGATCCGTAGAAAAAGGGAGAACACAGGCATGAAATAGCTACGACTAAACAAACTGTCAAAAAATGTAACCTCCTACGGAGCAAAACCTGTTGCGTACCCCCGGAAGATTTAGATAGTGACGTTGCTAAGCATGTGATATTTGCGCTGGAAGCAGGGGGTATACTACCTTGACATTGCATACTAGGAAATACCGATAACGGATTTGAATCATTACATGAAATTTCGAAATTCATGGCAGAATCAGCAAAGTACACCTTAAAATCTTTGCTATAAATTCGAGCATCTGTCTTGCGTAAATGATTCTGCCCGAACAAAATAGGTCATGTCAAATTAGGAACAACAAGCATTGTAAATGTAACTGAGCGACCATTTTCCCATACAATAGGGACTTCCATTATACCTACAGCATGTAGATTGGAAGCAGGCCCAGCTACCGAAACGGGGATGTGCTGCTCAAGTTTAGTGAATTTGAGATTGGGATGCTGACGGGCTACGTGCGCAGCATGTTTTTGACTTGCTAGGGACATCGAGCAGCAACTATCCAAAGGCAAGGGAAGAGAAACTCCCGCAGAAGTAACCTTAGTCCACAATATGTTTTTATCCGCAAGACGAAGGGCCGAAAATGTGAGATTACTTGTAAGGGCAGATACGGCGGGCATACCATAAAGTAGATCTTGCGGCGGAGCCTCGGGGAGTTGGGTGGACGTTGAAAAGGGGAGACGTTTTTCTACCTCCTGTGCAATACTAGCAGAGAGATCCTGTTTTAAAGATGCAAGAGATTCATCAAATACTTTCTTTACTGTATCAACGATAAAGGCATCATGATCTGTGTTAATATCTGCATAATTGCTATGAATTCTAGATGATACAGAATATCGAGAATCAGGCAGAGAATTACGAGTATCATGTTAATTACGTTTAAAGGTGCCTCGTGGCTGTACGTGATTCTGGCTACGAGAAGGCTTGTTACGTGTGGAATCGTGAAAGTTATGTAAGAATTTCTTACAATTAGACTTAGAACATTGCACGCATTTATGAATAAAGCCAAACTTACATCGGTTATTAGGTAATTCACAATGAGCTTTATGAAATTTATTAAAGTACCAGCAAATTTTTGTACCTGAGTGTCCAGAATTTACGTTTTGCTGGACTGGAGAAGCTGATTGCGTAGTAGCGGTAAGGAGAGATTCCGGCTTCCATGGAGTGGGCGTGTCTCGAGGCGAAAGGACGTGCTGAATTGACTCGTTTAGCAGCTTCGATGGCAGCAGTGAGATTGGAAAAAGGAGAATCACGACTGAGAAGTTCCTTGGATAATACAGAAGAAAGTTTCATAATGAAGGCATGAATGAGTTCCATGTCACCAGTGTGTGGGTTGGAAGAACGATCGATACCAGGAATGAGCCTTTCGAGGGAGTGCTGGGTTTCCAGAAAACGGTGTGCAAAATCGGAAACAGACTCGCCAGGATTCTGGTGCATGGCGTAGTATGTGGCAAGAAGTTCTCGAATAAGTTGTTCTTTGGGTACACCACGGTGGGCTGTAAGAGTGACCAAACATTGATCGTAAAGAGTCATGAATTCGTCTGAAGCCCGTGTAGAAGAAAATTGAATAGCTTTTTCGGAATCGAAATTGCAGACGATAGTCTTTTTGCCATCGTTGCTTCAAATAAGTCAACCAAAATTTTGGAGAGACACCAGAGGAGGAAAGATGTATATGAGCTGCTCTATGAAACGATCTAGAGGTTCTCTGCCTGTAAACTCCGGTAGAATACATTGTGGGAGATGTAGTGTCGAGCTGCTTGAATTTTGTGGACGAACGGAGAGAGACAGGTCAGCAACAGCTTGCGAGAGGCTTTGTAACTGTCGCTGCGTTTCGGCAGTGATTTCTTTTGTGGTATGTTGTTGGGATTTCACCACTTCGGCAAGACCACCAACAGGACCAACAACTTCTTCGATAGTGGACTTGACATACAAATGAAATGTTTGTTTTGTTAACACGAAGGATAATGATCCCAAGCCGAATATATTTGGTGCTTACATTTGCCAATTATTCAACGTTTATATAGTTTGAGGTGCATCGGAGGAAAGTATGTTTCTGTTGTGTGTCTGCTAATTTGTGCCATTTTGAAGTTTTGCTGTACGAACGACTTATTCTATTGAATTTTTTAATTCACTTATTGTTAGATTCTCAATGAGCTACTTTACATTTAGGAGCTACTGTATGTGACAAAAGATATGTTTTGAAGTTCATAGGTGACTGATAGAACCTTAAGTTAAAGGATAAGAATCGGTTCAGCGTTTCTTAAACATTTTTCTTATTTTTTTTCCAGTGAAGGAGGTTTCTTTAAAGCCCATTTGATATTTCCACCGGAATACCCGCAAAAGCCACCGAAAATGAAATTTGTTGTCGATTTCTGGCATCCAAATGGTAAGTGTTGTTGGTACCTAAGGTTTTTTAACAACAATCGAAAAATTTCCCATGAACAGAAAAGAGCAACTGGAGTAATGACGATCAAAATTGACTGGTGCAAAAAATTTTCTCTGCATAGATCAGAAATGATTCTGTCTATCACCAACCGACTAATTATAGTTACTGACAATTTCAAAAAGTACACAGTTATTAGTACAGTACAGAGAGTGTTCACATGATGTTATCTTGCAGTTTTATTTGATTCAGGGTATTTCAGCTTTCATGCCAAGTCTGCTTTTGTCTTCGGGTCAATGAATACTTCAGAAAATGCCTTGTTGGTTATGTTAATGGCTAAAATAGAGCCGTGAGTCTCTAGTTTATTTTCAATTCAGCGACTATCAGAGTTTGTTTCAATGATCACACTGAAGATGAGGTGGGTAATAAGCCGAATGCTTGAAATATGTTCGGTTGAATCTCTTCGAAGCTTTTTATTCTATCGACTGCTTCATTTCTGAGAATGGAAAAGGATAAATTTGGAATTGGTTAGACAGTCATATCTAGGGCGAAAGTAGTTTTTATGTTGGTGTAGCATTGATTTTTATGTTGTCTTCTCGTAACTCCTTGTCCATTATATTCTTGGACAAATTCTGAAGTACACATTTCTAAAACAAAGGCTCTCCTTTTGTTATACAGCCTAGTAAGATTTCAAAGTCAAATGCAACACTTACAATACCACACGATGCCTTATTTTCTTTGAATATGGACGAGGAGAGCCTGAGAAGAATCCACGAAACGTTTTTGTAGGTGCCTCTTTTCCCAGGGAGCTTAAACCAACAGTCTTCAATGCCCCATAACAGCCGTAACTGACCCATGTCTCTGACACTGTTGGTTGCTGTCTACTTCTATAAAATCGGTTTTCAGTTTCTCCAACCGGGTTGAGCCTTATCTCTCAATTTGCTTGTTTTCATGAATCCGTTTTTATGAATCCGGTTCAAACGAGCCACTTCAAACGAATTTGGGTGACATTTTTGTTATTTATCTTGGACAGGGTCGTGAAGTCGTAATGTCGTTAAGGGGAATTGGCTGCTCGAAATCCTAAATACCATTTCTGCACTCTTCATCTGCACACTTCCTCGAAAAACTTTTCATGTTAATTTTTTATGTGCTTCCAAACTGAATTATCGGTTATTTTTTTTGTCTTGATTCAAATATTTACGTTATCATTCTTGTTATTTTTATCTCTAATCAATTGTATAAATTATTCTTTAAGGTTGTTATTTTGATCCACAATGCACTTGCATAAGTCTTTTATTTATCTGTTTTTTTTCTTACTCCATTATGTTACCATTTTGAAATCGACAATTTGCTTTCAATTCGGCCTAAGACCCGTACTGTTCAACATAATATGGCCTTGTTCTGTTGTTGGCAACAGAATTATTGGCAGTAGATAACTTTTTACCAGTGGAAGATGGAAATATCCCTATGGTACAAAATGGGAAGTGGAGAGCCTTAAACTGTCTCAGAGTTGTGTCACAAATTGATTTTCTTACCGAAATTCCCTTTTCAAGTCAAGTTGTGAAAAAATGATCTCCATTCATGTCTGTGAGGAAAGAGCCTAAACGAAAGAGAGTTCGTGCCAAATAATGAGAAAATAACAAAACGAAGAATTGAATAAACGAATGAATTAGTAAGTGAGTGAATTTGTCAGTGGGTGTGTGAGTGGATATCTTTTAGCAGGTAGCTGGTTGATCAAGTTAAGATTGCCACTGTATACGCTTATGACGAGATTTCGATTTGTTTTTGTGCAGCCACTTGTCGATTTCTGGAATTTTCTTTATTAAAGTCCATGCTTGTTTAATTGCCATGGTTTCTGACGGGACCTTCAAACCGACGACCTGTGCGTCTGCAGGTTGCAGTGTATCTCAGGCCGTCAGAGTTTCCTTATGGCCTAGGCAATTTGACTACCTTTTTTATCTAAATAGCGCCGCGTTTATTACAAAATAGAACTTTTGGACGCGGCGTTTATTAGAGGATGGTGTTTATTTGAGGGCGCCGTTTTATACAATGAAAAATGACAAGAAAAGTGCGATAAAAAATATAAAAGCAGACTTGTAATAAAGGCTTCGTGAAAAATGTTTTAAAGTTCACGAAAGATATTTTCAGGTAGTGTCAAGAAATGTTAAGGTCGCTGTCTCCGTCAGAGTTCTCGTCTGTGGCATGAAAACTTTCATAGCTTTCGAAAAGTAAACATAAACTATACGTTGTTTCTTTTTTAGTCTGTTTGGTAATAAACGCCGCTTTTCAAGACGAGGCGTTTGAAAGAGTGACTTGTTTATTAGAGGCCGGTGTTCATTAAGGGAAATACGGTGCTCATGTCCTGTATGTAGTTGCTTGCATCAATATTTTGGACATGTGATATTGCGTTGAATTGGACTAGAAAGAATTACTGGAGGTCGCTTTTATATGCCATTTGGGATGCGTTCCTATGTCGTCCTTTGTTGTCCCCTTTGGAATATTTGATCGTAACAGGAGTTGGAAAATCTTCAGTTAACTTGTGACTATCATGGTAACTATATGGTAAAGCGAGGTGATTTTTCTACCTCACAAGGCTCAAGCTGTTGGTTAGCATCCCCTTCTTCCGCCAAGCAATTTTGTTAATATGGTTTTCAGAGCTTTTCTGTTGTCCAATATTCCTATGGCGAAAGTAGTGCGATGTCAGTTGTCCTTACGGAAAATTGTTAATTCACCCAAGTATTTTTGTTTACTGGGCGATCTCTGGTCCAGTGCCGTAGGTTGAAAGGGCTGGAGATTGAGCGAGAAATGTAGATTGAATTACATAACTCGTCCTGAAAGCAGACGGACCTGGTCAAAGTTTGATCTTTATAACAGTATACACTTTCCTTTGTCTTTGATCAATTGACGTCATCTCAAGCTAGTTCACCTAATCTGTATTGTGTCCAGGGCTTGGCTGTTCTGTTTGACAGACCCGCGTTTTCAATATGAAAGAATATGCGGTTTAGTCAAGCCAGATATAAAACCATTGTCTCGCGACCTTAATGATAAAAAGTTACTTTAAACCAAGTGATTGCCGTTGTCACGTGCTTCAGTTACTGTCATTCCATGATTCCATCTTTGCAGCTTTGTTTTGGTATCGCTCCAGTTTTAACAATGAATCGCCAGCCCATGGTGGAAAGCAATTTCAGGAAAGCTGAATAGTTAAAAGACAAAAGCTGCGCTTGGCAAAAGACAAAGCAGGAGTCCCCTCATGCCTTTGTCTTGAAGCCCTTTCTTTTCAATTTTTATGGCGTATTCATGTGAATATGAATACGAATGAGGGTGGTTGGGGAAAAAATTGATCGTGCTTGATATAGAGGGAACCAGACCATGTCTAACAAGGCTGATGATCTTAAAAAATCTAACGTGATGTGAATGATAAATAGTTTGTTTAAAGTTGGCCTAAAAATCTAATAGCTGTTGAAATCTAAAAATCGAAGTATACCGAGTTGATAATTGTGGTTTTCATTTGCAGTTTCAAAAGAGGGCGATGTGTGCATATCTATACTTCATGAACCCGGAGAGGACAAATATGGCTACGAGAAGCCCGAAGAAAGATGGCTGCCCGTTCACACGGTGGAGACAATTCTTTTAAGTGTGATTTCAATGATTGCTGATCCAAACGACGAGTCTCCTGCCAATGTCGACGCTGCAGTACGTTACTTTTGCTGCATTTTTGCGCATCTCTCATTGCAGTCTTCGTTCTTGAAATCTCAAGCACCTCTCGCAGTAATCTCGCGCTGCTTTTCTTGAAGTCTCGCGCACATCTCGCAGTAATCTCGCGCTGCCTTTGTTGAAGTCTCGCGCACATCTCGTAGTTAGCTCCCGCTACTCTCGTTGAAATCTCACGCACCTCTCGCAGTAATCTCGCGCTGCCTTTGTTGAAGACTCGCGCACATCTCGTAGTAAGCTCCCGCTACTCTCGTTGAAGTCTCGCGCACATCTCGTATTAAGCTCGCGCTACCTTCGTTCTTGAAATCTCACGCACCTCTCGCAGTAATCTCGCGCTGCCTTTGTTGAAGTCTCGCGTGCCTCTCGTAGTAAGCTCGTGCTGCCCTCGTTGAAGTGTCGCGCGCCTCTCTTAGTAAGCTTGTGCTGCCCTCGTTGAAGTCGCGCACACCTCTCGTAGTAACGCGCATCTCTTCTTGCAGTTTTGCAATATCCCCCTTTTTATCTCGCATGCTGTTTGCCAGTTTCCATTTTTAGTTGCGCATTTAGCTTAAATAGGTGTTTATCTTTGTTCACAGAAAGAATGGCGAAAAGACTACAATGGAGCATTCAAGAAGAACGTGCGCAAGTGTGTGAGAAAAAGCCAAGAATGTTTATGAATGGTAGACGGTAAAAAGTCATTCGTTTATTTTGCCATTTGTAATTCCTAATTATTGTAAAAAGTTTTCTAATTCCTCTGTAACTCCGTAAGTGTAAAACTATTCTTGAAAATAGGAAGACATGTACAACTCGTTTTAATTACTTGTAATAACTGTGCTCTATGTGTCTCCTCCTAAGCGTTATGCCACTCAGCATCCATTTCAGATAGAATCATATATTTGATTGATTACCATGAGTCATCAGTTACGTAAGGCAGATGCCAGTTATGCAAGGTGCAATGATGGTACGTCACAATTACAGGAAATAAATTTTAGTGTTCCACAGGGATCTTATCTAGGACCCCTTCTGCTTTATGTTGAAAACTGCCGGGCAACTAGGTAAGTATCTTCAAGGAGTGTCAACCATCTGAATGCGACGTTTAACAAGGACCTGGATTCGTCAAGGGAATGGTGGCTCCAGGGCAATAAACCATGTTTGAATGTCGTGAAGACACGTTATTGGATCACGCCCTAACTTTAAACATATTTTAATAAAACTAACGGAACCCCCTACCCTGCCTTTGTAATGGGTGGCTCGGAAGTCGAAATGGTCGATAGTGTCAAATATTTAGGTCTGTGAATTGACAAAAGATTGTACGATCTAAGGATTCTTGTGCTTTTGAAGTCTAAATTTAGTCTAAATTGGCCTAATATAGCGGAAATGGTAAAATATGAGACATTTTGCATTGTTTACGAATCAATAGTTAACATTGCTCCAAATTACCTATAAAGAAAGTTCACAATAACTTCTCTTAGTCCCACCAATTAAAACTTTTAAATTGTCAGCGAGCATTTTCATATCGAGATGCTAGAGTTTGGATCCTCTTGGATTCGAAAATCAAGTAGGCATTCTCTTTCAAATCATTTAAAGGTGATTTAAAATAATTTATATTGTCAGTTATTTATCAATTGTTTATTGTTTTAATAAGGCTACAGTATTTCGCTATTAATTTACGTTGTAGGATTTGACTTACGGCTCTCTGAAAAACGTTGTTTACTGACGGGATTACCGAATTTAAATTCAATGAAGTGAAACGAACTGAACATTGCGAGTCGGCGAAGACTCATGTGTTGAAAAAGCTCTCAAACAGTGACACATAAGACTTCTTTCATGCTGCTCCGGCTTTTTATTTTTATCAAGCGTTCCATTTTGTCTCTTTGCCTCAGTGTCTTACTTGAATGGTGTTAGCGTCGGGTATCTCTCTCTCCTAGTTTCCTGTCTGTCCGGGCCAGGGTAGATCAACCAAGCAAAAGTGCTCCTAAAACGGCAGTCCGGTTCTGACAATTTAAAATATCATTTGAATCACATAATGCTTTTACTGTGTTTGGAGCGGTTCATTGAACAAAAGAGTGAAATTCTTGGATTTTGAAGCGTTAGTTACTCTGCAGTGAATGGCTATCAATGACACCAGTAACCCGGGACATGGATTGTTAAAAGTTCGGGCAATTGCTGCATCGAAGTAATCGCGATTTGAAGCCAGATTCAATGGTTTCATGTATACTCCCCGAAGAGAGTGTCTGGTTCATTCAACTACCTAGGTATGCAGCAAAATTGCTTACCAGGAAGTTAGATAATACTTTCTCATACCAGTTGTGAACAAATTCGACCTGTACTATGAACAGTAACTGCATCATGGCGTTCGGGCAGTGCTACTCGCCCCAATCTCCTTTTCCATTCGAATGCATTTGAGTTCTTTATCAGTTTTAAGAAGATACCATTTGGTTTGTTAAATGTGATCATTTTGGATTCATGGATTCACTGAGGTTGATGTAGTTATAGTGTGACTGGATGAGTTGAAGATCAGTTTAAAATCCTGAGGGATTAAGATGTGGTGTTAATAAAACCGCTTTTAGGTGAACCCCATTATCCTGTTCTGGCAACATCAAGTATTTTGATTTGTCAATCGCTTTTACTTGTTTTGATAATGCCGCGGCGTTTTAAATTGGTTTAAATGTAATTAAATATATAAATTAAACATTAGATTGTGTTCAAGGTCATTATAATCATCATATGCACGGTATCGGGATCTTGCGCTCACCGGCGCTCACATGGATTTACTTGGTCGTGATTAAATTGAATTTTGTGGTAGATCTGTTGGTTGGGGATTTTGGAACAGAGCACTGTCTCATTGCGTGTACGGACAAGGTGACAGCAATGTGGGGCAATGTTTTGGCCGCGCTAGAGCAATTTTGTGCTCCTACTGTTAACAACTTGATAAGCAGAAAAGTAACAATTGAGATATTTGTTAGGGTATTGTATCTGATTTGTGCCGTGCTATCTGGTTCAGGAATTAGACAAAATGCCCAAGTTATGAGCTCCCGTTTTTGATCCTGATCGCCCCTTGACCACTCGTTCCCTTTCTTTAGGAACTTGTTTAGTTCTTAAGCGGTTTGCAAAAGCTCATGATTCCTCTCTTTGGTGAAGCTGTTTATTAAAATGTTTACTGTTCATATTAGTTTTATGTTAGTTTTATCAGTGAAAAATGTAGTCAAATGGAGTCAAATGTAGTATTTGACAAATGTAGTCAAGTGAATGTAGTTAAGAATAATAATTTTGGACGGACATAAGTCACAGTCGCTTACCGTAGTAAGGTGTGGCAAGAACGTTTGATAACTGTTTAGTGTTCATCGGAACATCGATCGATGATTGACTAAAATGTCCATTAAACGACAAACGTGCTATCTTCAACCAGCGCGATCTTATTTTACGTGCAGAGGACACGGAGCCAGAGAGATGCAAACTGTTTGTGCAGTGTGTAACGTGATTTCTACTGACTGATTATAATTTACAAAAGTGCATATTGATCTAGAAAACTGGCAAACTTAATTAAGAGTTATACAAAGGAAAGGATATGCTCGATGGTTAACAATGGTGTGATAGATTAGGTTAAAATGACGTGTAATTAACATAGATAATGATGAATATAGAATTACGTAGGTATGCAGAAGAAGCAATGATGGATTGTATAAAATGGCCTAAATTGAATCACTACAATAGCCCCCTCCCTAGAATGCAAGCGAGTGTGAAGCATTCGATACGTAGGGAGAAAAGCGAGAAAAAAAATGCAATGACGAGAACGAATTAAGTTTAAGAGTTCGAAATTAAATGTTCATTTTTGGTGTGCATGTTACTTGCCAGCTCTTGTGGTGTGAATTGACATCTTGCAGAATTTGTGCGGAGAGTGGTGCTTGCTGTGCCGAGGTTTTTGGCGTAGGATGACCAGGAACCCTGAAATGTGCATCTCTGGTTTTATGTGTAGGATGACCAGGAACCTGCGATGGATTGGAGGCGTATGTGTGAGCAAAGAGCGAAATGCCTTGTTGCTGCCGTAGATGGGTGAGGCGTGTGAGACAATGTCCGATGCTGTTTGCTGCCTTGATTCGAATGGTGTAGCGTAGCACTACGGTGAGTCGAGCGCTGCTGTGTTCGCTTGTTGCGAGTTGGCACTACGGTGATTCGAGTGCTGCTTGATGATGGTGCATGTGTATTGTGGTGCGTTGAAAACAGCGTTGTAGAATGTGCGTGTCGAAGCAGCCGCGGTCACCAATTTAGTGTTCATCGGAACATCGATCGATGATTGACTAAAATGTCCATTAAACGACAAACGTGCTATCTTCAACCAGTGCGATCTTATTTTACGTGCAGAGGACACGGAGCCAGAGAGATGCAAACTGTTTGTGCAGTGTGTAACGTGATTTCTACTGACTGATTATAATTTACAAAAGTGCGTATTGATATAGAAAACTGGCAAACTTAATTAAGAGTTATACAAAGGAAAGGATATGCTCGATGGTTAACAATGGTGTGATAGATTAGGTTAAAATGACGTGTAATTAACATAGAGAATGATGAATATAGAATTACGTAGGTATGCAGAAGAAGCAATGATGGATTGTATAAAATGGCCTAAATTGAATCACTACAACTGCACTGGCTGTTACTACACAAAACCAAGTAGGATCCTGCAAAAGAGTAGGGGATTAATATATCTGACAGCCAGTTTCAAAGGAAAACCAAACAAGCCCTTAAACTTGAAATTTAAGGTTATCATGTCGGACGACCAAAAAATTTCTCATCATATGAATTTTCTGAACACAGAATGGTAATTTTCCGTGAAAAGCGTCAGCCATTGCCAACTTCGAATGTCTCGTAACAAATATGGAGCGGTTCAGTTGCTTTTTGTTTTGCTTTGAGCTATGGAAACGTCCACCAGACATGATTCTGGATTTTGAGCAAGGCTTTGATAAAACTTTGAAGAAAATAAATGCCATTTTGTAACTCGGCTTTTGCAATATCCAGCTTCATTTTGCCTTCCTTCGGTACAATTTTTTAATCTCTCTATGTCCTAGGTTTGTCTTTATTCCTCGTACTTTTTAACCCCAAACTACTTCTCTTCAAAATCTGCCGACATAAGACTCGCCCCTTACCAACTCTTTCTCTCCATTCATTTTTTCCCGACAAGACTTTTACAAAATCCTTCTTCGACCGTAATTCATTTTTGTTAGAATGCAAAGCTGTTCAAAAGGACTGAAGCGCGAGTTCAGCTGGCTCGCGTTAGCTGGCAAACCCTCCTCCAGTAGAGTCTTAGCGTGACATCATAAACTATATATAAATGATATATAAATGTATAATTTTCTGATGGTTTGTACTTTTGACCACAATGAACAATGTAAAGTATATTTGCTCTCTTACAATTTTCTCTTTGATTATTTGGTTCAGAATCGAGCATTTCTTAAAGTTTACTTTAATGGCGTCATCTTGTACGGGTTTGGCAATGTGAAAGTAGCGTTCGCTGATAGTGGTTTCGCAAAATTAAGAACGTTAAGAGATTCTTTTATCAAAAATGAAGCCGTTAGCTGCCCTCACTCTTTATTGGTATCTGCGGCTGATAAACGCGTAGCCGCGCGGTAGATGGTCACATCCGTACTGTCTTATCTAAAAGTGGCTTATATTTAATCACGTCATGTTTCGTGTAGAGTTCTTTTTGTTTACCTTTGACAAAGCTAATCTCGAGGACTTTTGTTTTGAAAGCTGCTGGAAAGAAATGAAGCCAGTGACGTAAAATCCAGGTTAGGGCCTCAATTTAAATTTAATCCGGTTTAAATTTTTTTGTTATTATAAGTATGATAGTCGAGAACAAAGATTTTTTTAAGATGGAGCGAATGGGAGCCTGCATGGCTGGGGGTAAGGGGAAGTTTCTGCCCCCATGATCTTACCTGTCCCTAGCAGGGAGCATAATTTGCCTCTTCACGAAATTTGCATGCGCTATATTGCTGTGATTGTATAGACAAAAAGAAACTGGTTTAGGTTTATACAAAAACTATTTTTGAATGCGTAAAGGATATTATTGTGCCATTTAAGCAAACTGATATTTTAAATAACACGCACAAGAGCAATCACGTGGCCATGTGGACTGTCCAACAAGGCTCTCCAAAGGAAATATCAGCAAATTTTCTTGGTAGAGTGTACGTAACAAGTTCGAAAATTGTAGTTTGATAACAGATAAGGTTGACCAGAGCCCACAGAGAGGTTTTTTGTTAATTTGTGCTTTCATGTCATTTGAGAAGGCAGATCAAGCTTGTTTACGACAGACCCTCTGTAAACCAAATACGACAGACCCTCTATCAATCTATTCACAGAATTTGCAAAAATAGAGCAATGGAACCCACTTCTACTCGTAAACATATTTTTTACAAACGCCTGAAGTAATGTTTAAAATCTAGTAATAATTTATTACGTGGCACTCTTTACTTAAATTAGCCTCAAGGAAGCTCCATTGCGTCCGATAGAGTAAAATTCCATTAGGAGCACCGAAAGAAAGAACTTTTCATAATTTCAGAAGCTATCAAAGGAGGTAAGAAAAAGTCATTTAGAACTGGTGGCAAGCCATTCTTTATCTGGTGCACGAAATAAGCGTATGGTTTTTATCAAAAAGTCGAAAATATATTGATACTCTATTCTCTCGACGTTTTTCTTGCCAACATCCTTAGTAATACCCTAACAAAGTGTCGCACCTACTTTTTGTCAAAACTTGAATTTCTTGTAAGTAATTTCTAAGCGCTTTCAAGATCTTCATCTAGAACCGGCATTCAGCATAGAGGTGGCCTAAGTATTAGTTGATAAATGATGGTCATCAGCATACATGATTTCGCCGCAATTATTGACACCTTGTCGGATGTAGTTGAACCAGATTAGCAACAGCAAAAGTCCGAGGTAAGATCCTTGGTGGACTTCAACGTTAATGCTCAAACATCGACACCTTTTGCCGAAATGTAGTGCTCCTGACTTAAACCACAAATGCTCGTTTTTTTACTATTTCGTCATGAACAATGGACACTGAACTCACAGATTCGCTTATGGTTGGGCATCTTACTAATATCCGGAATGGGATTTGTCAAAAGAAAGAAGAGGAGAGGACCTAGGGAATTCCACCCAGGGGCAAATCACTGCTTAAAAATCACGTACGCTCTCAAGAATAATCACACTTCAATCAGAAAACAATCACATTAATAAAAAATCAAATTAATCACAAAGTACAAAATTAATCACAAAAGTTACTTGCAATAAATATTAGAATCCTTGCCCACGTTCATCTGGATACGTTATTGAAAATTCAATATTTAAAATGTCCCTTTCACACTTTTCCAATCTTTTCATGAACACGTTGGAAAATCTGCAAACACACGATCGAGAACAACAAGCTTTAATCACCTCATTGGCTTTAATAAGTACCCTTCGATGAAGCAAAAAGGAAGACCTCGTTATGATGCCGGGGTCACTGAAACAACCATTGCTGTTTTTGTTGCCCAAATGCCACTGAAGTTGATCTGACCAAAAACCACTCCTGATAGCAGTCATTTTTTACCCATAGCTACAAGGGCGGATCCAGACAGTTCCGGCTGTTGCAGTTGAAACTGTTACATTTATGGGAAAAGATTTATATCAGATTATTGTAATGTCCCCAAATAAAGTTTGATAATCAAGTTCCATATTTCTGGAACTTGTAATTTTTGATTTCGGTGAAAGTTTCGGGACTGACAGTTTAATTTCCCAATAGTGACATCACTTGCGAGGGCAGAGAACAAAGCACATGCATTTGTCTTAATGTCTTTCACGAGCTGTTCAACAACTGTTCACTGTTTTTTTCATTCTAGGCCATTTGCATCCATGTTGCTATTGCTATTGTTCAAGAAAGATAGCTTTTTATGATGCATATTCAATGTTCAGTTTTTGATTCCAGGCTGTTTGCTTTCATATTGCCAATGCTAGTGTTCAGGTAAAATAGCTCTATTGATGCAAATTCAAATTCTTTCGACGAAAGTTGACGGCCCACAGAAATGAGCACGTGCATTTGTCTTAATGTCTCATTCCAAGTGATCAACAACGTTAAACTGTTTTTCTCTTCAGGCTACTGTCACCAACCTATAATACTGATTTAATATTTTGCTTATGCTGCTGTTCAGAAAAGATATCTCAGTTTTTAGTTGTTAATGTAAGTAAAGTTTTGCACCTTTTTCGTTTGCAAAGCTGCAAAGGTCAAATTTTTTTCTGGATCCACTCCTGTGCTGAACTGCTAATTTTTCTTTTTTAATTTCATATAGTATGTTGCAAAATCGTTTATTGAGCATGAAATTATTTTAGATCACTTTTGAATCTATGATTCAGTTTCTAAATAATCAAAAAATAATAAAAAATATTTAATCACTACTATCACTAAAAATCAAATTAATCACACACAAAATTGATTTAATCACAAATTAATCACTAGTGATTATTTATCTCGTACACCATTTTCAAGAGTGATTTGTCCCTCGAATTCCACTGTGAACAACGCGATCCACGCCCTTGAAAAGTCTAAATAAGGCTCGTTTCATGACTAATATTGATTGGCTGGGGTCGGATCACATGGCTTGACCGCCCTGACATCATTTATACACTCATTTTTATAAGAAACTCGCTATGAAAACGATAACTGTAAACGTAAAATCAGAAATTTTCAGCACTCGAATAGAAGAATAATCAAGAAAGCTTTTTCACGATTCAAAAAATGGTTTACCAGTTCTTTCGTTTAATAGTCCAATATCTAGTGATCAAAAATTATCGAAAATATTTTTCTTGCAAACATTTTACATAAATAGACAAAAAGATACATAATTATGTCCAGTTCAGGAAAGTACTGATAATCATTTTAGCACTTTTTTCTTTAAATTTTTTTTAATTTTGGATGAGGAAGAAAATGGACTTGATTTGGGAGGTGACTGGCGAAATAACCCTTTCTTAATTCGATGTAAATAGTGAAATTAACTTCGAGATCCGGATGTTTTGATATTAGAGGATATGAAGGAGAATTTGTGCCACCACAGAAAAAATTCAATCTCAGTCATGCCTCTTATATTCGACAGTATATGGCAGCAACAGTAGTAATGCTGGGAGCAAAAATAAAAGCAATTCCTAAAATGCATAAATAGAAAACAAATTTAGAAAAATTGCCAGGTAAAATTTGATCAAAGATCATAAAATTCAATAATGTTTTAACCTTATATTAATAAGACAGCAAAGAAAAATGTTATTCTTTAATTGTGTCATGATGTCGTTTGATACTTATTTAAGTTAAGCATATTTTTTTGATCAAATTTAATTTATTTGCGCAACAAGGTCTAACAAAAACCAATGTATGCGAACAAGTTGTGTTATAGAAAATTCTATTTGATATCAGGCGGCGAAAGCTTTTAGCAACGGAAGAGGAGGCTTTAAAAGCAATCGAAAACTAATCTTTGCAGGCCATCGATAAATTTGTCGTTTTTTGTTTTCAGGGGAAAAACCTTTTTTGGAAGAAGATTGTGCAAAGGGGAAGAAATGGTAAGAGTTATCAAGCAAGGAAATGGTAAAACGCTTTAGGCCTTGGGCTAAGTGCCTTATAAAGTGCGCGTTAGTTTAAGCCGTCGATTATAATCAAACTCACATGTTAACTATGGGGATAATTGTTATTATTCTCACTGAAATTTTGATTATAAAATCTACGATAACTATGATTTTATTGTAGACATGATGACTGCGGAGAAAGATTGAAGCAGCCGTCCTTGGTTAATCAGGATAAGACGTAAGGCAACGAAGGAGAAGAATGATGATTGAGAGATGTCATATATATCACCTTGTGGCACCTTGATATTGCATTTCATATGATGGACCTAAATTTTCAGGTACCGCTTTCCTGCTTGTTATGCAAAACACACATCTACCATGAAAATCTGCTTTTTCACCCGTTCTGATTCGCCAAATTTTAGCTAGTCCCAAGGGATTTCGAGAAAAGCGAGGCGAGCGTAGATTGGCTGTTCCAGGGCAACACCGATTTTGTTTACATGTATTGGATTTCCTATCGACTTGAATTTAATGTTTGACTGTGTAAATGTGATTGAATACTATTGTTAATGCACAATAATATTGGTCCGATCTCCGAATTGTTATGCTAATCACTTGTTTCCAGTCTCCTTTTTGTGGTTTGTACGAGAAGTTTAAACAGTATAACATGACGGACGGGTGAACATGGCGGCCGAACGAACATCAGAGTCCCTTTTTCTAGCAATGCCAACATATGATTGCTATGATCACACAAAGAGAATAAGAAGGGACAGCCATCAGCTACCATCAATAGACATTGCCAACAGTTTTTCGTATAGTTCTGGCTTTGAACTTAGCAGCCCTAACTTTGCAAGCAACAGTTTCCAAGAGAAAGATACGAATTGCGTCGACCAATCCACATTGCATTCAAACGGCTCCCTTGCAAAATACTCGCGAAACCAGGCATTTGAAGCGTTTTACAGTTCCTTAAAGGCAAGTGATCTCAGCAGTTATATTGGCTTCAACAGTATTCTGTCAGGAAACGCACGATCGATACAAAATGGTGAGTTTTCGACCGCGTTTATTTGTAGCAGGTCTCATCGCGATTGCATTTTTCAGTTCCGTGACCAAAATTTTACGCAGCCTGTTTGGTTAAAACCACAATACGATAGGGCACGACATCACAGTTTTATTTGCATTAAGATACCTGACTCTATTCGTTTAATCGCTGAAAGGAACAATTGCAGCAAGGCATCACGAAAATCGCTGCTTACTCAACCTGCACGCTCTGTTGCTGAGTCCCAAACAAATTGAGATTGTCCGGAATAAGGCCTTTTCCACACAGTAAAGTGAAATCGTTATTTTCTTTATAGGTTATACATTTTGAAACATTTACTTGAATTTTTAACATAAAGATATTACTTTGAAATAAATTTTAACTTGCGCCACAATTTGATCTAGTTCAGTGATTGTATCTGAAATCGCAATTTAGGGACGCCTTCAAAGAATTAGAGACGCCAGCAACAATCCGCTCATTTTCCTGTTGTGCTTGAAAAAGCACTCGTAATTTCTGTCAGTGAAGAAGTACTCGATTTGTGGCGCATACTTCAACAGTTCAACAGTTGCAATGCCCACGGCATATTTAGATAAACAAATAGTTTCAACATTATTAACGCAGGTCCTTACGAAAGGAAGATGTATTCAAAACATCGATAGAACTATTTCAGTTTTGCCTCAAACATATTTGTTACTTTTCTAAAAATTCCTTCCAACCTTTGCAATATAATGCATAAATATGGGGAAAAATATGTTTCTGGATGGTGTCACAATTTTGTCAAAATAACAATTATGGTTGATTCACGAAACCTTTCATATGTTTTTTTTATTTTCACGCCGTGCGTTTGAACTTTGAGAAATTAGCTTTGCCTTAAAACTGCCAGGGTTATGAATATGGTTGAAAGTTATATGAAGGTAACCGACTTCCAAAGAGTAATTGCTGATTCAAAATGAAAGTTTATTGTACAAGTCGCTGTCTAAATACTGTTAAAGCAGTAAATGCTTTTCTGTTGCTGCTTTTCGCACTACCGTGCGGCCACCACCGCAGTAGCTACTTGATCCTAATCCCTTTCGCTCAATAATGCAGGAACAGTGTCCCAGGCACGAACGCCACCGCAAGTAAAGACCGCCGGTTTAGAGACAACTTTGCAATCATTGACGCTGCTTTGTTGAATTTTCTTTGAAAAAAGTAGCGCATAACAGTGCCTTTTAGGGAGCGTTTTTATCAGGTACGGCGCGTGAAAATCTAGTGCTGAGCCCTCACCATTTTCTAAGAATTGTGTTCAATGTCTGCTGCAATGGTCCTCACAAAGAGATTCACATTTATGAATTATTTATGGCTGTGGGCTAGCCTCAGCCCTCAGGGTATTTTAGCTCTAATTTAGAGCCTCCATTGAGAACCCCAGCCTACATCCCCCACCTCAATCCAAGTCCTCTTGTGGACTTTGGTTTTGTTCTTGGGGACCTTTCGCTTGTTCTTTGTCGTCCTGTTATTCTGAAACTTGTCATCTCATAGTTCCAAAAGTCAAGAAAAATTGTTTTTCCTAGCATGAAAAAATTCACTTAAAAATTTTCCACCAATTGTTTGGATTTTGAATAAAAACAATAATGATAAAATTTTCAACAATGTTTTGCATACAAGAGACAATTTTCGAAAGAACATTTATAATGCTTTTTGGGCTATAGCACATTCGCTTGCTTCCTTTTCACGTTGGTTGTTGTCATCAAGGAAATGTATATCGTACGATAACCTCCTAGTATTTTCGCCAAATTACAGACTTGTGCTGGGTAATATATGTCTTAAATGTTATTTAAAGGCGAAATCAATGTTACAGAAACAACGATTGCATTGAACAGGAAGTGTGCGAAAAATTTCATCAAAACTCAAAGCTTTGGTATTGTATCTGTTAGGCCAAATAAAAAAAATTTGACATTGCATTGCACCAATGGAAGGGATAAACTCGATAAGAATTAAGAATTTCCTGCAGGCTTCTGCCGCATTTCTAAATGCATAAAGTGCTTGATTACAATTTCCAAATTTTCTTTAGTCATCCTGCAGTAAGTGTAAGAATATTTGCAATTTTCTACAATGATCGAGAAGCTTTCAATGCATTAATATATTATATGTTAACGTTCTGCCAAAACTCAACAATTCTCAAAGCAAATCAAATCTTTTTTGTTGCAGCCATTGAGAACCACAACATGCCGCCTTCTCGAGTTGTGCATTGCAGAGCCGTGGCAGATGGCTGCAAAGAAACGGATATTGTCGCAGCTATGAAACAATTTGGCAAAATAAGGTCAAAAGATTTCCTTTTTAGTCTTTCCCGCATAATCTTACATTTGATATTAATTGACGAACTCTGTCCCACAACTGATCCTTTCTCCCTAGATCTTGTAGACTTTGGAACGCACTACTCTCTTCCTGCTTTCAAGACTTGATTAAAAACTAGAATTAACAACCCCTCTCGCCTTTCCCTTTTTAGTGCTTCACTATAGGCTCATTACCAACATTACCAACTAAACAAATAACGTATTAATAACAACATAAATATTTTTGCCTTTAAGCACCTTTTTATGTACAGGTCTACTATTATTTTCAAGGAAATCCCCTTGACTTGGCAGTAAGTGCGATCATAGTGGTACGATGCAAGACTGCACCATGCCAGCATATGGAAATTGCGGTGGCAAACCGCAATTTCTATTGTCATTTATTTCTTGTTCATTGACACGTGTTGCTTGCCGGTGTTTCATAACATCATTGCCGCTGACCTTTAATGCTGCCTCGTTTTGATTGCTGTCACGTTCCTGTAAGTAGAGAATTGTTTCTCGTGGCCGCAAGAAGGCTTTGGATAACCAATGCCATTTTATTCCGTGGTCAACTTAATTAGCCTGCTTCTATTTTGCCCTTTACCTCTCAAACTTTTTTCTACCTACTAATTTGTTCAAAACAACTTTACTTCTGCATAGACTATTCGATTTTTCTTTTAAATTTTGAGGTAGCTGTGGTTTTTAAAACATGCGTCTTTATTTCTTGAAGGAGCAACATTTGACAGCATTTGAATAAAAAAATGGAAGAATTCCGCTCTACCCTCGACTTCTTTTCTCACTTTGAGCTTTCTACCAAGATGCTAACTATATTGCAGCTTATTGCTTCCAAGGATATCACATGCAACCTGCTAGGCCCTTCTCGAAGTTGCAAAACCTACCGATGTTTGTCTTCGTTGGGGCTTTGTTGTCTGCAAAATATGCAGATTTTTTGGATGCCTTCTTTACCTTTTTCTTTTGTCTTGCAATTGCGAAAAACGTCAAATTTAGCCCGCAACTGTTTCCTTAGAAATGCCGCGTCCTTGTTTTGGTTTTTGGCTGTTGCGAAAATCAGCCCATAGTGCCTTTCGGCTTAATACAATAGAGTAACTTCCCAAACAAAAAGCGCTTTTTGTTACAGTTGCTAAGGCTCTGTTATGCACCAAAGCCTACGTTTTGCAGGGTTAGCTTTCCCCTTCTCGAAAGGCGATTGGTTGAATATGTTTTCGTTGCCATAAGCCTTGAACACACAATATCTGAGGGCTTGACCTTGAAGTGTGTCGAAAGATGTTTAGTTTGCAGTGGCATTTTGAGAAGAGCAGTAGTCGTTTCAACGATTTGTTATTTACCTTTCATAATTCGCCAATTCTTTATTACTGTTTATTTTGCATTCATATTGTTTCTCATTGTCCCTCAGTGATAAGGATTGCGGTCGAACGATGTAAATCCTTCCTTTGTGCTGATACGATTTATTCAAAGTTATTTGAAAATGTATTAGGAAACCTGCACGAAAGGCTTTCAAGAATTTCAATAGTGCAGATTTGTAATTTGTCATTTGACCTGCGTGCTTATGTGAGCTGTGGTGCAGTATTGATGGTAGCCATAAGGTAGTTCTAAGGGGCTTTTGATTGGCTGGTTAGTGCTCTAGGTGCCTCCAAATAAGGCATTGTTGCTGATCAATCTCAAATGAATCTGTTCTAGACAATCATTTCCTCCCAAAATATTTTTATCAAGAGTTGTTTCCAATTAGGCACTCCAAGTTTATTTGCCAGTTTGATTTTTTAATAAGTGTCTCGATTTATGTCAGTTTGTTCAATTAACTTTCATTGCACAGGTGTCATAGGTTTCGTTGCACAAAGTTTTTTCTAAATAGACTTAACCATAAAGCTATTTCCTTGTTAAGTGAAATCAAAATAAATACAGATACCGAGTATCAAAAGTACTAAAACAACTTGCTTTACTAATAAAGGTTGCCTAAATTGCTAGGGAAGGCTTTCATTTTGTCTAAATGAAATCGGTGAACATTGAATTGGCAATTGTGTCGCTCGGTCTATTCCTGTCGAGGTTGGGTATCACAAGAGTTTTTTGATTTTCAATTATCTTAGTTAGCAGAAATGCAAAATTTGTGTAGGTTAAATGGCAATTCTTGATGAATATTACAATATATTAATTTTTGCTCGAATTTTCAGGGCTCTGACATTGATGCCAAAGCTTCGACAAGCTCTGATTGAGTTCGAGGTAAATTAATTTCATTTTATTAATCGAGTTTAACTAATATTTTTATTACATTTTCCAAAATGCCGCAAGTAGTTTAAAGCAACGGGATGTTTTCAATTGTTCCAATCATTGATTGAGGAGATTCCATTTCTCCTCCCTTAACTAAGTGTCTCGAAATCATGGTTTCTTGCTATTTTTCTTTTTGCTAGTTTTGTTTTCTCGCCATTCGTCTTATCAACTTCAATATCAAATTCATCAAGAGCGTCAGACTAATTTACTTTCTACTGCTCTTGTTTCTCTTGCAGACTCTAGAATCGGCCACGGCTTGCATTAAGTTTTCCAAGGTTTGTCAACATTAACGAATGTTTTCATAAGTTATATATATAGATACTAGTTATCATTAAGATACTTTAGTTGCATTGGAAATTAGTCTCTTAATGCATGTCATCGTACGCCACATTTAACTATCTCTTTACAAAACGATAGTTCACTTCTGGCTTGTTACACTTTTTTTGTAAGAACCAGATAATTTTTTGCAGTTACCCGATGTTTATATTTTCAATTATAATTCGTTTTAATTTCAACACGATTTTTCTGCAATTGCAAACCGTCAATTATTTCTGAGGCCACTAAATAGCAGATTTGTATGACATTTTTAGTAGCACTGTTGATTTGCAGAAAAAGTTTTTGATTTGAGTCTGGGCATGTTCTTGCTTGGCAAATCTACCCTCGTTGTTCTTGAAGGTGTGCCTAAACATTTCTAATAGAAAAAGTGCAGTCAATTCTAAAACACAAGCGCTGCTCCAAACATTTTTCATTGCTCATGTAAAGCTACTTGCTGAACTGTTTGTTGTGAATCTGAACGAGATAAGACGATTTATCTTCCAGGTAAATCCGATAATGGTTCTTGGTAGGCAGATGTACGTGAATTTCTCAAAAAGCCAGGAAATTAACAGGTGGGAGGAATTAGATTTTCTTATCTTGTATCATCACTAACAAGAATGACAGCTTTGTGCTTCCCATTCTTTGATTGGAGGAGTTTGAAGTATTGCAGGAGAGCAATAATTTATTTTTAGATAACTCCATGCTGATCCAGCCAATTGAGTTGTATTTATTGTTGCTGAAACCAGGCCATTTCGTTTACCCTGAATGTTGTTAGATTTTGATGAGCCCCAATAAAAGAAGAGAGCATCAAGTCAAATAAAAGTCTATGATAACCACCTTTTTAATAAAGGTAACATATTTATAGAGGAACAGGAAGATTTAGGCGTTTTCCAATCAATCTCTGTCTTCTTTCTTTGAATCTTTGAGTAAGTGAGAGGTAAGCGGTCGCCGATTGGTCAATAACAAATAACAATTCAATCGCGCCATTCCTCTTTTTGCGTTAATTTCGTATCCACACCTAAATAAAAAATTTTCCATTCTTTTGTCATTAGCAAACGTTTATACTCTGAGGAGTATCTGATCGATTTTCATATCTGCTTTTTAATGTGTGCGATTTTCTTACGTTCCTATCTAAAATCAAAATTTAACATATGAAGCCTAGGGTATGGTTTCATGCTTATTAAATGCATATTCCTGTTACTTGTTTGTCATTCATCGTTTCTCACTTATCAACACGTGTTTTTCCACAAGGGATTTCAGTGGCAGCAGTGGCACGCTTGTGGAGACGCCCACCAATGTTCTCTTGTTCACCATCATCAATGCAATTCATCCAATCAACGTGGTATGCTCTGCTTCTATGTCCTCTTTGCTGTGTTTTTAAAGGTTTATTGGTTAGAGAAAATGCGAAAAATTCGTGAACTTTGGACATCATTTCCATATTTTGTTCTGGTGCATTTTCAAAAGTCAAACTATCAAAAATTATCTCTAATCTAATCTAAGTAGCCCATGCATTATGCTTAAGGACCTGTCTAAATACGTCTTAATTTTCTAGATTCGATGCTAAAATTTGTTTGTTTTCTAGTTTTCTTATCTCAACGCTTTAATCAGCATTTTGATCCTTTTAGGACGTGATAAAGAAAATTTGTTCAAATCATGCCGAGGTTCAGCGGATTGTGATTTTTCACAAAAACGGCCTTCAGGCGCTTGTAGAATATCTTTTCATAACAATATTTATTAATTTCCTGCTGGCAAATGACATTTCTACGAGAATCGAATTTGACAACTTGAAAATAAGAGATTATCTCAAAATCACTTCCAGATATATTCATAAAAACTGTTTCCGAAACCCATTTGATATTTATGAAAACTCATTTCTTCAAGATATCTCTAACAGCACAGCCCATTAGTGTTTGCATTTAACAAAAGGCTGCTATAACTGCATAAAGATATTGAAATAGTCAAGTAACCGAGAAGATAAAAAACTTATTCATTTGTGCAGAATTTAGTCTATTGAAAGCAGATTCGGATTAGCAGCCTCGTAGCCATTAGATTCCTTAATATGGTCGCACATTTGGGACATCAGAGGAGGCACAAGCGGTGAAGAAATCACTCAACCGACGTGATATTTACGCTGGTTGCTGCACTTTGAAAATTGATTTCTCCAAGGTAACTTGTTTCGCCTTCATTCATATTGTCCAGGCTCTTATGTTTTCACCTGTTTTCTGTCTTCCAATAACATTGTAGCTTTTGATGAAGAGTTTTTGAGATAAGATCAGCAAATTTGATCAAGTTGAGCAATGCTAACTTCTCCGTTTACAGACTGCCATTTTAATTAAGCAACGGGTAAATTAGTTATGAATACATTAATGATGTGACATTGCCATCAATAGGTAAACTTTTTTTGAAAGCAAATTCTTGAAGTAAGTATATTTCGTGTAATAATCCATTATGTTTCTTTCATTTCTAGGTGGTTCATTTGTTTATGTCGAAGATTTTGTTTCTTTGTAACCTAGCCTGTGTTACATTTTTTGTATAATCGTTTTCGATTGTTTTCATGTTGTTACGGAAAAGATTAGTCGGTGTCAAAAACCTTTATTGAAATCACGGCAATCAAAATAAGTTATGAATCATATTTTGCCCAATGTTCAACACTTTCCGCATGAGTTGGTAATATTTTAAAGCAACCGACTTTAAGAAATAATATCTTTTCGTTTTATAATGATTATTCATAGCATGACGTCATTATGATAAACATAGCAACAACGAACAGTTAGCGACCCTTGACTCCAAATGCAATTTACAATAGCTCAGGAGAGGACGATTCGAAATTGCGTTAATGTACTATGAGTTACGCCGTCGAACAACGTTTTTTTATGAAAGCTGCTATCATTGATGTTTCTTTGTTTAAAAATCGTTCAAGTAATACTCCTTTCGTTTTGTTGTTGCAGACTGGTCGACTAAATGTCCATGCGAATACAAGTGAAACTTTTGACTCGGCCATCGACAACCAAAGCCAAAGTAAGTCATCCTGTTTCCCCTTTTTTCCTACCTGTCTTAATTTTAAGGAAGCCTTTTTTCATTTTGCATCAAAATTGTTTTTAAAACATTATTGAATCGTATTTCAGGGGCAATTTTAGAGCTGCTGTCAAATGACCGTGATGGAAACTACTTTGCGGAACGCGGAATATCCAACAGCAGCTACTCGTCATCCAGTTATACCAATGGAAGCTTGGGTTCTTCATCGCCTGGGCCGAGTCCATCTTTTCCGATCGGGCAGGCTTCAAGTGGTATGCATCGTAACTATAAACACGAGTATCTTGTACGCGCATCGTTACGTCATCAACTATTATCAAGACAATATGCAGCGAAGACCGCTGATGCCCCGAGAGACAGGGTTCATAGAATAAATGAAGTGGTTGGTCGCTGACCAATGATACCTAATTGATTCAATAATTAAATATTCCTAAAATATTTTCAATGTCGTTTAATGCTCAATGTAATTCCTGAATCGTATTTTCGCTCCACCAGCACAACAATTATCGCGTGCTAAGCGTAACAAGAAAAAGGAATGTTTCGTGATTCGGTTCTGTAAACCCGCACGCAATGGATCAAAATACACTTTGAATTGACCTAAATGTAAAGGTCAATCGCATCATGTAATGTTGTGTTTCTGCTTCTTTTTGTAACTACATACAATGTTTTTTTCACGCAACAAGCAAACGTGACATCCACAGCATCTCTTCCTCATTTCCCCTTGGTTCGACGAATTATTTCGATGCAAAGTTTAAATGTAAAATCAATGTGCGTTAGTTTATACGATAATTCCTTTTATTTAAAAACTATCAAATTCATCAAGCATCATCAACTAAGTTAAAACTGTTTTCTTCTGTGGTACAAAAATTAACCCAGTTTTTGATCTTGTATCTGTTGTTTTAAAGAGTGTCAGACGAAAAGCTTAAGTATTTTGCAAATGTTCTGCTTTTTCCAAAACCATTTTCAAGTCAAGATACTTGGGAACTACAAAACGAAGGCAAACTTTTTGGAGAGACAATGCGAAAAAAAATTGTACATTTGTTAGTACATTCGAAAGAAACCTCTGAACATAGCTCTGCAAAGGAGCACGGTAAAAGTAATATTGCCACTGTTCGCTGATGCATTTTTCCATCATAAAAAATATCATTTGCATTTATTGCTACCAAATGCCTCTCTGTAGAGAAATCTCAGCGATACAATTATCAAAAGGAACATTCCACTGACCAGCGTTCTCTTTCCTTTATAAAAATATTTTGTCTTCCTACGATTGTGACCTTTCAGTAATATTTTGAAATCCTCTCCCCCAAAACCATTAGGCAGACACCGTGTTTAAGAATCCTTCTTTAGGAAAATTTTCCTTTCCAAATAATTTTTACTGTTTAGATATGATTTTAACTGTCAAGAACTTTCAAATCTTATTTTCCCCAAACTTTAGATCAATTAAAGCATTTTTTGTTATCTGGGAAATCGAAAATTTCTAATGTTTTAAAAAAGATTTGCGGCTGACTGTAACTACTTTTGAACGATTTGGCATGATTGCGTACTTCAAATTGAAACATATTTAAATATTTAATCATCTTTGAAGCATTTATAAAGTCCATTGCCCACTGAGAATAATTGGTAATTGGATGTTGAACTCTTGTTTCAGATCCAGCGATCGAGGATTCGGTTATGGAGTCAATTGGCAGCAGATCATCCACATACAAAGCAGCTCAGAGTAAGCAAACCTCGCATTCATTCCGCCCAATCTCTGATGCAACAACAACTTCAATTCTGTTTAGTTTGTTTGCGTGTAGAAATCTCTCCTTGTGAAATTACATTCTTGATATATAAAAAGTATTGCCTCAAGGGTTTTCAGATGTATAACACATTGCATTTGAATTTGGAAATTTTTGTTTCATTTTTGTTTTTCTATTCTAGATGACATCATTGCAAAGGCCATTGCAAAGCATGGAAGCTGTGAGTTCCCGACTTAACTCATTTCTATGATGTATTTTGCCACAGATGCTTCCAATTTATGTTTCAGAGGGTAATTTGGCGGACATCTGAATGGAAAGAGGACCAAATAGCAGGGGTTTAGTTTGATATCGTTAAAAAGTGCTTTGTAGGAGTGGGGCTACCTAAATGTTCACAAGATTCTGAGAAACGGTGTGGGCTATCATTAAAGAGTGACATCAGTTCATAGTTGGAATTAAAAACATAATTGATATTAATTTATATTGTAAGTAGCTTCTAACATAAAATAACATCTCAAATCTCAAATTTCAACACAAACACGGGCGCCTCTGCATAACCGAGTACATATGTAACAAGAATAATTACACATTAATATCCAACCATTACAATTTCTATTACACAAAAGACAAAATACTTGTCAAAATGAAGTCAGTGGGTGTGGCTATTGTATCAAGTTGATGTAGGTTCGTTGGCTCCTTTCTGGAGGCACGTAAGAGGAAATCACCATCTCAGTGGTAGTAGTAGGCTTGAAGCGGCTTTTATTTTTTAGCTACTTATATACGCCTATTTTAAATAAACAGATAGTAATAAATAAAATTAATGATAAACTGTGTGAAACTTTTCGTCAAACCTCTTCGTCAGCGCCATCATTTTATTTTTCAGCTGCGTTGAACTCAATACTCTCAGACACAGGCATTCTCAATAGTTTGATTGACACAAACAACACCAACAACAGTTCTTCAAGCATTCTCGGTATCCAACCAAACACAAATGGCAGTGCCTTCGCCTCCTTTGGCAAAAGCCTTAGCTTAGGTTGGTACATGTCTTAATGCAACTTTTTTGTTGACAAAACTGGAATCAGATCCTTTTTTCTTGAAAAAATTGTTTTTGCACAACACTTGGTCGTTTCGATTATGGCCTTGGTTATATCCAAAGGCACATTTAAACCAGCCAACAGAAAACCAGTCAGCATCCATAATTTTTTTGACTAAAATTACTTTGATATTTCTGCATAATTTCACCCGAATATGTTCTCTTGCCAGCCATAATCCATCTTATTCTGCTACTTTTATCAAACAAATTTTATACCTTTTATACGGTTTTAGCCCCCCCCCCCACTTTTTTTAGACCCCCCACTTTTCTCAACGCTCCGCGGTGCCTGATCGTTTTTTAAAAGTTTTTTACAAGTCGTGTGAAATCGCCTTTACTCGAGTGAAAGTCTTGGCAACACAATAGACCGGCGTTTTGTTTTGTTTTTTCTTTCGTGGTTGTTGGTCGTACGTAGAAGCAAACAGTACTAGCATTTATTGCTGTAAATTGATCGCATGTAACATGTGAAAGTATCCACTCTTTGTATTGAGTTTGATTGTTAATTCCATATCTAATAGTGGAATCTTATCTCAACAGCCGGAGGAGAGGGATGCGTAGCTATGGTGTATGGGGTGAATTTGGAAAGGATGAATTGCGACAAACTCTTCAATTTGTTTTGTTTGTATGGCAATGTGGTCAAGGTAAGAATATATTTTAATTGGGGCATTTCGAAGATCTTCGCTTATTATTGTTCGTATAACACAGTACCTGGTATGATTGCCCTGTCCAGTCGGGGATGAGGAGAAGTAAACGTGTGCTTAAGAACGAGCTCCCCGTGTTCTTGCAATGGTAGAATCTGCTCCAATTTGCTATTACATATGCTTTATATTATTAGGACTATGGATGTCATGGAAATAGAAAAGAGAAAGATATGCTCGAACTATAGATTCACAGAATGTTTAACATAAATGCTGTTCAATTTGCAGGTGAAGGTTTTAACAAACAAAGTCGGTGCTGCAATGATTCAATACACAGATAAAATGTCGACGGATATCGCGATCCGGAATCTTAACAACCTGACGCTCTTCGTGAACAAATTCCAATTATCGTTAGTACATTTCACTTGTTGAATTCTTCCATTTTCTTCCTATCTCTTGCTGTCACTGTTGGCAATTCGCCCTTTGTCATTCACCCTTCGCAATCCTAAGTGCTTGTGCAAGTGGCAGTTGATTTCTGCCCTTGATGCGTCTACCTAGCCTTAATCATAATCATTAGCCGTAATCTCTTTGTGTCCTAATCTTAATAAATATCACTAACGGAACTAGCTGCATGCTTTCTCTAATGTAGCCTGATGAATAAAACTTGGTTGCAGCTTGAAGTCATTCGCTTGTGTTTTCCTTTGACTAGATTTTCGAAGCACCCATTCATTGCCGATGCATCTCAAATCTCACGGCTCCCAGACGGCTCTCCTTCTGCTGTCAATTATGCTGACTCAAGAAACAACCGTTTCAAATAGTAAGATCTTTCAAGTTCAATGTAAAATTATGATTTTTGAGACTTAAACATTAACCTTGTATTTTCGTTTCATTAAATCTTGCAGGTTTAGCCATTGGTCTTGCTCACTAAATCAAATGTTTTGACTTTAAGTATAATTTCAAGTCTTTAATTCTTAATTTGCGTAAAATTGCTTGTCATTTTAGCATTCCTGGAGGAGTTGACATCTTTTCACGTATCTTTTCTATAGTTTATATTTTAATTAGATATTCAATCATTTCCTTGATTCGATTTGAAAGAAGAAACAATCTTAAAGTTTTGCTTATCTTCAAATAAAGTTCTAAGTGCTTGTGGAATAAAGAGATTGTTACAAACTAAATAATTGAAGGTTAAATGCTAAAATATTAAGGGTTTATAGTTATAATGAACAATGAACATGGGTTAAAAATCGACATTTCATTAGATGTAATCAGATATAACTAGATTGTTGTTGAAAATGGACCGAATAACCAAGAATATGGATTTTGTCATGGATATTGTTATGGAAATTGACTCAGAGACCTCAGGTATACATCCACCATCAAAAGTGCTGCATTATTTCAATGCCCCTGCAGACTGCACCGAAGAGCAGCTCAAAGAGGTAAGCGCCATTCATTTCCTTTCCTACCGAAGAAAGAATTTCATGTTTAGCATTTGAAGCTAGCTCAGTCGATCCATCATCAATTTTTTCATCTAGACTCCAGAAATTTAACATCAAACGGGTTTTCTGTGCTGTCATTCGAGATAAAATTTATTAACAAGAAAGTAGCTTCTGAAACCAAAAAATCTAATACGAAATTTGACAGAAAAGAGAACCATTGACAAGTCTTCCCGCAATTCTTTATCTTCATTTTGTGTCGCTCCTTGTCAATTTTCTTTACCTTGTTATTGTTTTATTATTTCAAATAGTGAGCTTTTAGGAGTTCTTGCAATATAACCTTTAAACTTAAACAGATGTTTGTTACTTTACATTTCTAGAAAACTACTAATGGTTCCTAAATTATTCCTTGGAATACAAATAAAAATTATTTGCTATGATTATGTTGATTTGCAAAAAAGTTAGCAATATTTAAAAGAAAGATCAAACAATGGAATGGGGACCAATGTAAGTGTAAATATGCAAAAAACCGAAATGTGGGTATGCTGAGATCCTAAAAAAATTGATTAAAAAAATTGTTTTATTATTTCTCTCTTCTGATTATGTTTTAATTTTGTAATTTTGTAGAAATGTAAATAGTTGGTATGAATTAGCTTTTTACGCTATGTATAGCACCGTGAAAATAATAATAATAATAAGAGGAACATTCGGAAATTTCTGATTTTATTAAAAGCTGACAGACCTTGTCCGTTTGATTACCACGCATCTTTCAGTCATTGTTTGGCTTTTGTTTGAATAGTTATATCTTGGTATCTCTAGAAATCATCTGTTAAAATTGTAAACTTTTGACAAATACTGAATTCTCATTTAAAAGGTATTTGCAGCCGTCAATGCCGAGATTCCACTGAAGCAAGCTACCTTTGCAAAAGGTAAGCAAGGCTCAAAGTCTTTTCATAAGCCTGGCTTGAAGCGATTGTATCGAAAGCTTGCTCTCATAGCATTGTCTCGAGGAATTCTCTCAAGTAAAGGCGTTTGAAGTTTAGCGAGTCTCGACGAATTCTCTCAAGAAAAGGCGATTTGTTAAAATTATGCGAAATTTGATGTTATCCAGTAGAAATATTGTAAAACTGAAGTTTCGCAATTTTTGCCTGTAAATTTGCTGTGCTCAGGCAGTAAAAGTAGGCATTCGTTTTAGGCCAGCGCAGTGTCGAGGCAGTTAGTATGCTGAGTCAAGGGAAATCGTCATCTGGATTGCTTGAGTTTAGCTGCGTGCCGACTGCTGTGGAGGCACTTATACTAGCCAATCACTTCACCATGCACAGAGATGGTAGGTTGATTTTCATGTCTAGAATCAAGCACGGATCTCTTTTCCAGTCGCCACTATATGAAAAGATGATCAGGCGCAGAATGTGATGCATAACCAACCATGTTGACTGGCGGATAAAGCAGTCAATCAACATTCGGTTAATGCAGCTTATGTTTTATGATGAAAAGCTGTTTTCTAGGAATTTTATAGCCACTCGCGTTTAATAGTCACTTCTGTAGACTTCCAGTAGTTTGTCATGCACACGTCCGTCAGCCCAATATAGATTTTGCTAACAATTAGCAAAGTCTTCTATCCACCAATCAATCAATCATTACATAGGAAGTGTGCCCTTTTGATACTTATAAAGTGATAATTTTATCAAAGTCTTCACAAATATCACATTTACAACTAATATCATGTCTTGAGTTGAAAACAAGAGCTTTTTTTAATATTAATCCCAAACTAGGCAGTTGGTATCCTTGTTTTTGTGAACATTTTAGAGTGAAAATGTCGATTAAGGGGTTCCTCATGTAGAATGCCTTGAAGTAATCCTATCCACCTGCACTCATCCTATTCATGTCCTATTACATTGTCTCCAAATTACTCAAATGTTGCATATTACTGCTTTGTCCTAGGTGGAGGTGCGTACACTTTGAAGCTGGCTTTTTCACCGAGCAGCACAATTAACAATTGAGAAAGCCACAGGGAGCACAGATAACACCAATAGCATGATGTTATGAAAGTTACTTGGTAGCAATGTAGTGATCAGATGCATTTGGTGAGAGAGGCCGTTGCTAATTTCTTAATGTCAGAGCACAGAATTTAAATATTTTGTATTTTCCACACGAATCTCGTTCAAGTTTCTCACGTCTAAATTTGCAATATTTTTTTACTCATCTCTTCGCAATTCGAGAATTTGAACTTTTCTTTTTAAATTTTTATCAATAGTCGTTTTATTCATAGTGTGCATTCAATTCAATTCATTGTTAACAAACGCACCGTCGTAAAAATCAAAATCGCTTACTTTGTCAAATGGCGATAAAAGTAACATCTTGTGCAAGGCTGCAATAGCGAAAAGGTGTTGCTTGCAAGGCCAAACATAAGTTATATTTCCAGATTCGTGTCCATTACTACAGGAAAAGCCATGTCTTATTCTCTTGGAAATTTTTCAACAAATTAATTCAAAGTTCCTTTTGTCAATGAGTTAGAAAAACATACTTTTTAATTGTGAAACTGTGACCCCCCGTCTTTTCGTTATTGCAGGTCATTTTGCTATTAAATGGTTTTGTTAGTGTTGTCCCCCTTTCCTTAAACGTATCGTATGTAGGTAAACATGCAAAAAGTGAATCTTCATAGAAGATTTATCGTCGTCCATCATTTTGTTATATACTTCTTAATTACTTTCGTTGTGCAAGGTCAACCATACCAGTGATGTAATACTTACAGTTCGCAGAACTTATCACGTCTCCAGTTTTCACAATTTGACTTTCTTGCTGCAAAAACGATGTTTAAACAGTAGATTGGTATCGATATCTTGCACGGCCACGGTTACAAATCTTTCAAATGTTTTCGTGAATTACGCACGACATGAAGGTTAAAGGCAGTACGTCGCGCCGTTCATGGTTTATCGATGCAAAAAAAAAAATTTATATTTCAGTGAATTTTCATTTCGTAACAAAGGACGCCTTTCACTTGCTATTGACCAGTTCTACTAATTTGTTACGCTTCTCTAATTTCGAGGACCCTCGAAATTCAACAAAAAATTGCCAATGGACAGCGCGACATGCTGCTTTTAAACCTTCTCAATGTTTTGATTATGTAGTATTCTTTTCGTTACGTAAGACGTGCTTAATCTCACAAACTCCGAATGAGTATGCCTCTTTAAAAGCTTATCCTGGATTGGCAGGGCCGGCGAAACAGGGGGGGGGGGGCGGGGGGCCATGGCCCCCCCACATTTCTGCAGGGCAAAAAAGTTNGGGGGGGGGGGTGGGGGGGGGGGGGGGGGGGGGGGGGGGGGGGGGGGGGGGGGGGGGGGGGGGCCATGGCCCCTCCACATTTCTGCAGAGCAAAATAGTTTTTTTAGGCAATGCGGAAAGATATCTAATCCATCATTCTGTAAATGAGCGTACGCAGTATTACGCTTGGTAGCTATGTATTTACCAAACAGAAAATTGAAAATGGGAATTTGGTCAAAAAAGTCAGTCATTGTCCAAATGGTACAACGAATAACAGCTTGGCTAAAGAAATAGCTCGAGAAAACTGATTCAGAAAGACTTTGTTGCCTGCACCAAATGATCAGAAAGACTTTGTTGCCTGCACCAAATGATCAGAAAGACTTTGTTGCCTGCACCAAATGATCAGAAAGACTTTGTTGCCTGCACCAAATGATCAGAAAGACTTTGTTGCCTGCACCAAATGATCAGAAAGACTTTGTTGCCTGCACCAAATGATCAGAAAGACTTTGTTGCCTGCACCAAATGATCAGAAAGACTTTGTTGCCTGCACCAAATGATCAGAAAGACTTTGTTGCCTGCACCAAATGATCAGAAAGACTTTGTTGCCTGCACCAAATGATCAGAAAGACTTTGTTGCCTGCACCAAATGATCAGAAAGACTTTGTTGCCTGCACCAAATGATGGAGTATTATTTTTTCTATAGCCTAAACTCCGCTCCCAAGGTCTATTTGTTGACGGGAAGTTTCTCAAAAACTATTGAAGGAAAAGAAACTGCTGGAAAGAAAATTTTTTAAATATGAGAAATAAAAAACTTTTGTTGCATAATCTTTCATTTTGAGTTGACAGTGACTCTTTTGATATTTGATATTGACAGTGACTGTTGATGGTTTTGTTAAAGCTTGATTCATTTATTTTCTCCTCCATTTTATTTTGGTTCCTTTTTAAATCTAAAAAGCTTGATTACGAGCTGCAATTAAAAGTTTGTTCCAAAAATTTGCAAAAACTTTCCTATTACATGCCAACATTACAAGAGACAAAATTATGCGACACATTGATAAAAAAAGCTTGAAAATATTTCCTCGGATTTTCTATCTGTCAAAATCCATTTTAGATACTGTTTCTGGCCACCCCTAATACACCATAATTCTAAAAATTTTCTTGCCACCAACCATTTTGACCTTTCCTAAAACCTTTTATAACCTTGATTTTTGGCTCCTTCGCTTTCAAATATGTTTCGCCGGCCCTGTTGAAACTGTTGATTTACGCAATAACTTGCGAACTATACTGAATGAAAATTCTAGTAACAGGGCTGGAAGTTCACAGAATCCTTTGCATAAGGTCATTGTTCCTATTACACATAGAATTGTGTTTTTAAACTCTTTAAAGTTGTGACAACTTGATAGCGCCATATTGAATGAGCCCAGAGTTTCAAAACGCTTCGCGAAAAAGGCAGCCTGTTACCGACCACAAAATTTCACAAACTTTTTGTCAAAATTTTTCGCGTTTCGCTGTCGTTAATCAAGCACTTTGTAGCACATTGTGGGTAAAAACGTATTAGTCCATTCACAGTCCATTAGGTTTAGTTGAGCGTGGAAATGTTTTTAACAGCATAATAGAAAGAAACCACCTTTTAATGCGCATATTCTAGTGTTTTAACAAGCCAGACATATTTGTTTTAATGTTTGAGTATATGTTCAACACACGACTAGCCCGTTTTCGTATACAGTTATTGAAAGCGTTGTCTGTTTTGAACTCGTTTTCAGTTATTATACGCCTCGTTATGACACTGTTATCATAGTTAAAGCATTCAAATGCAAACATTTTTGTAATTTTGATATTTGTTAAACCGCCACATTATTGCATAGGCCATAACTGTTTCCGTGGTTCGACCACGTGATTTTGTTGAGAGTGCATCGTAAATCATATGAATCGCATTTGATGCGGTTCACATGAAGCACATCTCAGAATATACATAGAAACGATGCATAATACTCAAGCACATATGAAATCTAGACTACCTCGTACTAACAGTTCATCTTTGCCAGCCGTGATGCCTGGATTGCTAAGACCCACCTTCGTATCCATTGTTGCTATTACCAACTAGAAGCGTGCCTAGGCAATGAATTTCTAGCGTTCCTTTTATTTTCTTGCTCGTATCAAAGTGACTTTAGCTTCTGTACTAAACGGTTATTTGTGAGTTAAAGGGATTGTTCCTAAACTTTGAACTGTAGATGCAACTTATGTGCTCAAATTTGATACCAAAATTTCCCCTTAACATAACTTTGGATTTATTTTCCATGCAACATTCTCCAAAACGTTTCTAACTGTTTCCATAATTTTCTAAGGAATCTCTTTTAAAATAACCACTGTTGTTGCGCCTCCACATCAACGCTTGCAGACATGGGTGCGCTTCAGTACGCCACAAATTCTTAGAAATTCTTTTGTTTAAGCATCTTACGTCGTCCATTTTTTGTTTTTAATTTTTCCTATTACGAAATATGCCAAGCATCAATATTCTAGCTACAGGACAGACAAACATTTTTTCAAAAGGTCTTCTTCAGGCCGATAGAGACAATGTGCTAAGTTCAACTTTCTTGAATTCTTTTCCAACAATCTGGTTTATAGTTAAGTTTCACATGACGCATAATATCTTCGCATTGTTTCCGTCGCATTTTATTGCTCGCATTTTGCTCTCACTCATCTCTCAAGTACATGTGACTAATAGGCCGCTTTTGTGTAGTTTATAAGCTTTTTATAACATTTGATAATTCTCAGAATATTTGTTTGTATATCTCGTTACGTGCAAAAAATATTCAGGGCACGTATGATTAAATGTTCTACCGATGTTGCAAATCAAAGACTAACGGAAAAGTCAAATAAATACGACAAGAATGCCATGTAATTCAAAGGTTTTACAACCTTGACCATCTGTTTCCTAGTCTATGCCCATCATCTAACCGACCTTGTATATGGCTTGGTGAAGTGATGTCGTCAAAAAATCTCTAATTTTGATTAAACATCCACCCTATAGCTTGAAAAAATAGTTGAAAATAGTCGTTTGTGTGAATACCTCAGTTGGACAGCTCAAAAGTTCGCTTAAGTTAAGTTTTTAGCTATTACCGACTGTTCAGCAATGGGCCTTTACAAAGTTCATATCTTTAACAAGGAATCACACAGACACTTCGTAATACATTTGACTGATTTTGTATGCTTAAAATTTGTTCTTTCCGTTTTGTGATCCAAGTTTAAAACGATAAAAAGCTTTCCGAGGCGCCATCACTTCGCCATTTTGTTATACAAGGATTCTACTTACTTGACAGCTGTTAATAACGAGGTCAGATTATAAGCTTGCCTCCAAACTGCTTGCATTGTCCATGTCAACTGCCATCTACAGATTCCCCTGCCCAGGAGCTCATTTTAACGTCATATACGAATTTCAATGGCAGCAACGCTTTATCTAACGCACCTATGCACTTTAGTCTTAATGTGGGTCTATTATCGTTTATTATCGTATAGATGCTCTCATATTTGTTCAACCGTCCACCCTCTCAGCTATCATAGAGAACAAGCAAGACACATCGAATCATTTTAAAACTCGATGTCCCTAGTATCTTATATCAAGCAACAGCAACAAAATTAGCAATGTAAGTTTTTTAATCAGCCCCTGTGCAAGTAAAAATGTTGCAGCGCCTCCACATCAACGCTGTTCAACATCAGTGTATTTCAGCTCCTTCCATCTTAGTGTTATGTATCGTCGTCGGTTTCCATGAAAACAGCAGTCTCATTCTGATTTACAATGCAACAACACCGATTCTTTATAAATGTCGCAAATTTATTTTACTAAATGTAGCTGGAAATCTGTTGATCGTGGTAATCTCGTGTAATTTTGCACGATTCAGCACTTTCTTTTCCAGACAAAAATTTGAAAAATAATAGACGTTCTTTACATTTGTTCGGACCGCAATATTAATCGAGTACAATTGTTCGTTGTATCTACCCGTCACAATTTCACGTTTAAAACGATTGTTTTTAAGATTTTGTTCATTGTTATATTTGATCATAGCATGTATTGATACAAGCGTTTAAATGACACTGAAGCAAGACTCATTTTAAAATCAATAGCTTATTATCAACCCCCGGCTTTGAAATTTGAGATCCTTAAAGCATATGCAAAAGTTTGATTTAGTTTGTATTGGAAAAATCCATGGCACTTCCAGTAGTTGTCACAAGCCTAAAGCACCCACAATTGCAGAATACCAGAAGCCCTTTTCATTGCCTTTGCCAGTGCAACATGACTTTGGACCTTTATTTTAATGGATATCTTAAAATGTTTATCTTTGATGCAGAATTTTTGAATCTATGAAAATCACACCCACAATGTTGTCTTGCAACAGTGTCTTAGAATTAGCAAACAATTAATGTAAATTAGCATATTCCTGGGACAGCGTTTCTCGGAAAATATCTCCTTCAACCATAAAACCAAGATTCAAATCATGTATGACTTTTTACACACAGTCTACTTCGGACAAATTTAGCCCCCTTTTGGTAAGCCCCCTTTTGGTAAGCCCCCTTTGGTAAGCCCAACTGCTACCACAGATATATCAATGGTTATTTCGTTTTTCGCTCCTGTGGGCAGAGCCTTGAGATCGTGGCAGGAACATTCTCAAGGGAATGGTTCCAGGAGCAGCGCACTCACTCATTTTGATTCGCAGAAAAAAATGACATATTTCATATATTCATATTTTATATACTTCATATATGTGGCCACTAGAATCCGAGTGACGTAGACCCAGAGCCAAGAATACTATCTTTATGAGGCTACCCTTACTCCCGATTTTCAGATGCCTAGGGCATGCTCCATGTAACCATACCCCGCCGTACCTCGTCAGAGGCCTTGATTAAAAGATCTGTGGAGGGAGGCTGCTCTCGGAGATCTTTACGAGAAAAGGCCTGTCCCAGGAAACCTTCCAATATCTTGTCAGATACACTAGTGTAGTCAATGTAAGTATTCGCTTCACGTTTATGATGATATTGCCATTCACTGATTCGTGTTTGCTATCTCCGCGTCTATCTGTTGTTGCGAAGGAAAACTGGGTTTAGCCGAAAAAATACGATGAGGGAAAGGGCAAAGAATGGTACAAGAAAGTTTTGAAGACCACTGTGTGGGAGAAGAGAAAATGTCGCTTATTTTAAACAATGGTTATCTGTTTTGCCCTGACCTGACGGGTGAACCTGCTTCTTTATTTCCTCTTTTCTTCATTTTCTTCTACGCAATAACCTTAAGCTTGTTGAAGTTTGCATTATTTGCTAGCCGTAAACGTAGGCGCTTGTTAAGTTGAGTTTGGGATAAACTGTTTCGATATTTGAGGCGACACGAGTTGCTTGAAAGGGCCTACGTAATATATCTAACCTACAAAAAATTTGATTAATTTTGAATTGATTAGATCGATTTCAAATTTAAAAATTCAATGTCCAAATTTGATGCAGATTTCAAGCTGCTGAATTTTTTGTTCAATTAAATGTTAATTGGTCGTGTTAATGGTAATTAATTAAAATAGAACAAAAAAGTAACAGAAAAGAAATAGCATCAATTCAAAAAGATCAGACACTAAGACAAAAAACAGCCCCAGTTGATTAATTTGATATAACAATTGACAGTAAATGGGAGGATCATTAAGGACATAAATTCAAGGGCGTTGTGACTAAGGTTCTATAGAGTGGCAATTCCGAGAAAAGAGCGTTTACAATTTTCGCATGTTTAACTAAGGCAATATTCGTATTACTTAGGCCTCAAGACTTGTTTGTTTACCTGACCAAATATTGGATTTCTGTGAACAACTGTATTGAAGCTCTGTTTCCTACCTGATATAGATGGAAAAGTTTCAAACGTACCACAAATGTAATTTGTGATTCAACCGAAAGAACAACACAAAAAATGTTCTTATAGAAAAATACTAAGAAGCACTTGCCCGCTACCTGCCTCCATAACTTCTTTGTAAAAAGTACATAACTTAACTGCAAAAGATTTAAATGCATTAAAGTAAATGCACAAAATGCATCTTCATTTGAGGATATTCTAATGCTAGAGAGAGTAACTTTGTACACCACAGAAGTATGTAGCCCAATCGAAGTCTTTAAAACAGTAAAAAGGAGAAAATATGGCTCTTTGAGACAAATTTTCAGCTTCTCCTGGTCCGTCGCTAGCTGTTGTGCACAAGAGGAAGGGGTGCCCCGATATGAGCTATCGAATATTTACCCTCGAAGCACCCCTAAATGGCATAAATGTCTCGTTTTTTAATGAAATTTCTCCTACGAGTTTGGGAGGGGGGGTGTCACACCTCCACAACCTCGTAACGACAGCCCGGAGCCTCTCTCGCATATTTTCAGCATGAAATAATCTACTGAATAATTGCTCATTAAAAACACTTAAAGTAGCTCGTGATCCAGATATAAGTGTACGGAGATTCGGAGCAACTTCCAACACGAGCACCTTTGAAAGACTAAGTTCATCCAATATCCACGGTCATCCCACAGCAAAGTTTTTGAATAAAAAACTGAAAAAACAGTTAAAAAATACCAAAAATAGCCCAAGGGAACAGGTTCTGGTTAGGAAAAACATCGCAAAGCTTTTTAAAAATCCTGTTCACTGCTCTTATGCTAACTAAGCAATAAAAAATGTTCATTGTTTTTGTTCAACTGAAAAATTTAAGAGGAGAAGGTCAATTTTTATTTCTAGCAAAACATTTTGATTTTCAAAGTAAAATCTAAATGTAAAGATTAATTCACGAATTTTGGCCTAGCCAGTAAACATTTTGGATATGTTTTTGTAAGAAGAGTGAAGAACTGGAGGCTCTTAAACTGTTCGAAAACTAGACCTAGACTGTAAAACAACAATTATCAAAAGTAGTTCCATAAAAATGTCAGTAAAACCAATCGATTAGGTTTCCGAAGACTCTGTAGATAAAGCTGGCGCGTTAACTTATTCTTTCTAATTATATTCTGTTTGCAAATCTTTATAACAATGTTTTTGCTAAGAAACAAAAAAGACGGTTGGAGTTACCTTACCATGGTGGATGCTACCTTACCACGGTGGATGCTACCTTACGTCGGTGGGTGCTACCTTACCACGGTGGGTGCTACCTTACCACGGTGGGTGCTACCTTACCACGTTGGGTGCTACCTTACCACGGTGGGTGCTACCTTACAATGGTGGGTGCTACCTTACCACGGTGGGTGCTACCTTACAATGGTGGGTGCTACCTTAGGACGTGCTTGGTGCTACCTCATTACGGTGTGTCAAGAATGAAAGGACTTTTCACCAAAATTTCAAACGGTTTTCTCTGGTGTCTCGATGGTACAGAGTCTGACTTTTAAGGCAAGGAAAGGACCTCAATGTTATAGGATGCTCCCTACTGTACGTAAACGTACAATACCATTTGTACGTAGACAGTACGTGCTAAATGCATGCAAACAGTTGCACAAAAACAAAGAAAATAGGATCAAATCAGGATACAGTAGGTTTTGACGGAAGGCATGCGAGTAGAAAGTTAACAAAATACATTGAATAGAGATAAATTGAGAACAAGTTGGATAGGAGTTGGCATTTTTAGGGATGTAATTTTACATGACAATAAGTTGTGTCGTTCACAATCACATTAAGTCGAATCCAACATCATTTGACGGATGAGACTCTGCCGGGCCTTGACCTGTCAGACAATAAAAGACGAGAAAATATAACCTTGAAATTGATTTAAAAATAATACTTTTAATGAAAAGGGCAATGAATTTTCTTGAAATAATTTAAAAAAGAATATGTTAGGAGAAGGACAAAAACATACCCATAAGAGGATGAAGAGCTGTTGGGATTCTGGGTTCGAGAAGATAAAATCATGGCACGAAACTGCTGTTCAATCCGATGGTATGTTCCTGGAGTAGCAGCCTAGCAACAGGAAAAGGCATTGAGGTGGAAGGAATACCATCTTATTGATATAATAGCAGCTTGCTAATATGATATCAGGTCTTGAAACATTAACAGCTTAACAATAACTTTCGTAACATTGATATAATATCAGCTTATTAATATTGTACTGGCTTATCAATACAATGCACGGTAATGCATATAATAAAAGCTTGCTAGTATAATATTGGCTTATGGCCACAATATTGGATTATTGATAAAACATCAGCATATTGATACAACATCATCTTACTGATACAGAATCAATTTACTGATAAAATATCAGCTTTTGGATGAAACTTTGGATAACTGATGTATTATTGAATTACTGATATGATGTAATATTGGATCATGTCAGCCTATTGATACAACATCATCTTATTGATGTAATATCTGCTTATGGATGTAATATCAGCTTATGGATGTAATATCAGCTTATAGATGTAACATCAGCTAATTGATAAAACAATCTATAAAATTTGATATATCATCAATTTATCAATCATTATTCATTATTAGCTCATGGCATTATTTATATGAATTTTCCATGACCAGAGACAATAGATGTTAAGGCTTGTTCTTACCTAGTTATCTTGATTTAAAATTCATTGTTTTTTATTTTCATACCTCTTGTGTATTCTCCAATGCTTTATCGCTGTCTGTTTTCTGAGTCTCATCAAATCTTCGTTTGACCAAAGACATCATTAACTCATTCATTCGTCTCAAATCTGTGAACAATGGTAGAACTTAGTAAGTAAACCTCAAATTGAGTAAGTAAAATACACTGAGAAAAAAGACCGGTTAGAGACAACAAAATGTCCCAAACAAAGTTTTCACTTAACAGTTAAGAATCCAGGAAAGAAGGGACCAACCTTCAAAATCTGCTATTTGAAAAAATCCAGAAAATAAATACTAGAATCTTCTTGTCAATCATAAACAAAATAGTACAATGTTTAATTATCTACATTCAGGGACCTTTTCAATTCGTTAAAACATTTCCAATGAACAATTCTGTCTATCTGCTTGGTGCTTTACAGGCTAGGGTGAGAACGAGTTCTCAATTTGCCGAGGCAGAACAGTAAGCCTTGCTCAACTTGCTTCTAATTAATCACACTCTTTTCCATTAAAATATTAAGGATTCTCTTTAATTTAGTTTAGATCAAATCTGGAAAAGACCTAGATCTTTTAAACATTGAATTTACAGCTTAACCCTAACTTGAAGCAAGTGAATACGATTGGATAAACGAAATTTAGCGTCAGGGTAAATCAGAGACAAGCAGACATTAGGCATTCTCACCATCTTCTCTTTGCAAATCTTGGTTGAGTCTTGTTGGCAATGACGTATCCCAAGTTGGGCTAGAAATAACAAAAACAAATATTTGAAAATAGCGGAGAAAACCATGGTGTTCCAATAGGACCAAATCTCACAAAATCATCTCTGAGGAAGCAACAATAGAAAAGCAATGAGAAGTTATACCAAGAAATCAGATGAGCATCAAACACGAAAGACCTCTAAATCTGTTTTCAAGTGATCATCTATTCTCATTCAACGATCTAAATTCTTTGCAATTCTAATTTAACGATCTAATTTTGCAAACTGATTTTGGTCACTGAATTATCGAAACATTTCATTGAAAAAGGAGAAGGTCATTTTATTTGCAAACATGGCATAAACACCCACCCGACCATGTGACCGGGCGGTCGCAGAACATTTTTCAAGCATAAAGTTCTGTATGAAATTTTTTGAAAGATACTATTTTCAAGAAGCACCTTTGCTTCTTCCATGTTCATCAAAAGAAAAAAACATGAACACAAAACAAATTTATCTTTTGTATGTGCACTTGTACATGTTAAAATGGGTTTTCTATCTAAGAGCCCTTGAGAATGTTTTTAAAAACTCTTGTTTGACAAAATTTGACAGTTTTTCATCTGGCTTAAGCATTTTTGTTATAGTTTACACAATTTTTGAAAATTCTGCAAATTTTTGCTTGTTGATGCATGCAAGGTCTCTACCGTATATTGCCTATCATGGTGATTTTTACTGATTAAAACTTTCTCTTATGCTTTTCGCAATTGATTTCTTCTCAGGGCTCTGACCTATATCTTCATCAAGTAGTTTGTTAAAAACTTCCATGGATATATGCACATCATAAGATCAATAATTTTAGGCTCGTTTTCTAAAGTTGTTTTGCCCCTACCATCCAATGATAACAGCTACCCCAATTTAATTTTCATATGTACTTTTTCACCTGCATTCTAGCAAGTTTAATATTCTGATTGTAAATATTCTCACCAGTTTGGAGGTAAATATTACGGCTAAACCCCCTATTCCAGATCAATTTAAGCGTTAATGAAAAAAGAATCATCGTCAGATTGAAAGACAATGAAGAAAGCTGAATAATGTTGTGTTTGTTGGATCGATTTTAGAATCATTAAAACTCATTATGTTTCACTGTCTTGCTTCCAGCAGGTTGAACTCTCAGGAAAGTCGGTCTCCTGCAAATGTTAGATCTGGTCATGGCTGTGTTTGGAGAAATATTGGCAAGTCCATGCTTGCTAGCCCATAACCAAAGCGTTTGACATGCCTAAAGGTTTTCAAGACATTACTTCGAACAATTGCTATGACTGGTTGAAAATACACCTTTTCGATGTAGCTAATGATATATAATAAGATTTAATGTTCCTCTGTATTGTGTTGTTCCTCTGTATTATAAACCTCAAAGGGTATTTTGTTGTTACTCTGTATTATAAACCTCAAAGGGTATTTTGTTGTTACTCTGTATTATAAGCACATGTAATTTGGTTCTAAAAATATTTTAAGCCGGTTTTCTATTAGTCAGAATATTTCACAAAACCGGATCTACTATTGCTTTTTGGACCTATATTCCGTTTCGCAAAGAATAAAAAGTCGGATTGACTCCAATTATTCCGCTGCGCACAATGGTGCCAGACAGTCAAATCGAAGAACAAGGATACCACGGTTTGTCTTCGGCTCTCGGGTTGCGTTTGGTTGGGTTGATCACAACTCTGACTAAAATAAAGCAAAAAACAGAAGATAAAATTATGTAGAAAGAAAATCAAGGACGCAGGAAAGACCAAGGGGCAGGGGGACAGGCTTCAGTAAAATGGAATTTAAACATAAATTTCAGCTTCTAGTTCTGTTGTAGCTGCCACCTTATTTTGATGTTCTGTATGCATCTTGTTAATTGTCTAACTGCTGTCATAAGAATTGTTTGTATATGTTTTGTCAAAAAAGGCACTACAGTCGGGATTTCATATCAATCTCCGAAATAATTTCAAAGGCCGAACAAGGCCCCTTTATAAAAGTGCAAGAGGGGCGGTTGCCCCTTCCCCCTTCCCTATGTCCCCGTCTCCGGCATCCCTGATCAAAATTGATGGTTCGAAAGGGTGAGAAACGAACGCAGTTTATGCGAGTGAAAACACAACGGAATGCCTACCGATACCATTTTCTTCGGAATCACTGTCATCTTCGTCCTCGTAATTCTTCACCCGGTTTCTCGCAACCCGTCTCGACTTCATTTCAAAACGAAGCTAAAACAGAGATTATATATTAGAAGATTATTGCTTTTTAAATTTCATATAGCTTTTATTCAAATTATTTTATAACTACATTTTGCAAAAAAATTAGTTTGTATGCTCCAAGAAGTAGGTAGGTTGATACAAGAAAAATAAATTAAAGGCAGAATTGACATTGATTTATAGAATACCAACCGACTGCTTTGCTTCCATGTGCTTTGAGTTTGCTAACGATGCTGCTGCGTGCGGAGGCGCCTATAAAAATAAAAACGCAGTAATAAACAAAAGACGATCAATTCGACGGCAAGTTCTATTTAATTTGAGTTTTACTAAATACTAAACTGTCGTTTTTAGGATCAATAAGGCAAATCAATTTATTTATGAGATGAAATGTCGTTCTAATTGACAGAAGGATACAGATATGCAATATAATGCAAAGGTTTCTAAAAGAAAGAGAACGAAGAAACGAAGAAAGAAAGTAATGGCAAAAGTATTTACATAACTAAAAAGAAGAGTAAAGCACCAAGATTGGAAGAATGCTTACCATGCTTGCAGGGCTCAGAATACTTGTGATGAATATATTCTCATTTCTAAAATGCAATGCACTGAAAACAGGTCTTGCAGTCAATCTCATGAATAATGGTACTATGGGAGATGGGGAGGGAGACGGGAAGGGAGATGGGGAGAGATAAGGAAGGAAATCTTGAGGGTGAATAGAAGGGAGCTGGAGAGAAGATGGGGAGGGAGTTGAAGGGAAATAAGGAGAGAGATGATGAGGGGGACGGGGAGGGATATGGCGAGCGAAACGGGGAGGGAGATGGCCAGTGGGACAAGCAGGGAGAAGGGGAGAAGATGGGGAGGGAGATGAAGAGTGAGACAATAAGAGAGATGGGTAAAGTTGGAGGGGGAGTATGGGGAGGGAGATAAGGGGAGAAAAGGAGGGAGATGTTGTGGGGGACGGGTAAGGAGATGGCAAATGAAACGGGGAGGGGAGTAGCTAGTGGGACAAGCATGGAGATGGGGAGAAGATGAGGAGGGAGATGAGGAATGAGATGAGAAGGGACATGAGGAGTGAGACGGGGAGGGAGATAGGGGGAGAGATTTGGAGGGTCACAGGGAGGAAAATGGGGAGGGAGAATTAATTGCAGTACTTTTGAATTAATGTGTTCTGATAACATGTTCAATTCGCAAGTCATTTGGTAAACGAACAAAGCAGGATATCTTTAGGAATGACATTAAATCAAAATTAAAATACAGACTAAATAGAGGGAAACGATAAAAGTTAAGAAAATATTAAAATTTTATGTGTGCAAAAAATAGGAAAGAAGAAAGGGATTACAAATGCTAATTTAAACTCAACTATACTCATCTTCATTGCAAAATTATTTAAAATAAAATATTCGGCAAAACATTTGCAATTACAGGGATGCAATACAATTACTGTAGCTAACAATGTTGCGAGAATCAAATCAAGATTGAAATGAAATGATGCAAAACGTATTTGATAGCAAACTGATAACAATATAATCCCAGGCTCTGACATATAAACAAAGTAACACATGCTCAGCACAATCAAACAGTGTCACACTTGCTTAGTCAAAACAAAAACAAGGAAAGTAAGGAAAGAATTGAATTAGTTAGGTCCATACTTAAATTTTGATTGCTTTGGGGGAACACAGACAACATCCTTGTGGGCCAACAGCTGGTCATATACAGCTTTTGAGTTCAGATTATGATTGATTTTCGCATAACCTACAACAGAGAACAGCAAATAAAACGAAAGATTCAGACTACACTTGTTGGCTATTCCTAAACTAATACTAAACTAACACAAAAACTAACATCCTGCACTACAACTCTATGCACCTTTTTGCGATAACACATTAATAAATTGAAAACAGAACTAGATTTGATGAAAAACCACATTTTGTACTGTATTCAAAGTCATCTAGGTAGGGAAATTCTCCTATTTAAAAAACAATGACATTTGACTAAACAATGCAAATTGCTAGGGTTATTGCTAGGGTTATTGCTAGGGTAAATGCTAGGGTCATTGCTAGGGTCATTGCTAGGGCCATTACTAGGGTTGTTGCTAGGGTAAATGCTAGGGTAAATGTTAGGGTCATTGCTAGAGTCATTGCTAGACTGATTGCATCTTCCTGTTTTTTTAAGAAAGGGCTTTCTTGTGCATGCGTGAGTAAAGCAGGAATATAGCAAAACGACGATGAGAATCCATCACATTGTAGAGCAGAATTTTAAAATAAATTCAATGCAAAACTAATTTTTAGCTCCGGCAAACAGGTCTTCGTAAGAGTAAATTTCCGGTTGCTTGTAGGACAAAAGCAGGGTATCTAGCAGAAATTATCAAAATTTCAAAATCCATTTATCACTTCTATCATTTTATTGTAGACTTCTAAATCAAAATTCGGCAAAGAGAAAGTTTGCAAATAAAAAAATGTGCCAAAGATGAGAAATACGAAATGAAGAAAAATTTGCAATGATTGCGAAGCTGACCTGCGCCATCTGTTGCGCTTACGTCACGCCCAGAAGAGCAAACCTCGACGAGATGTTCTCTAAAAGTGCAACCCTGAAATGGTGTTAAGTCTGCTAGTTAATCAAAAACATCCGTAAAACAAAACTTGTAAAAAAAATGAAAAGGTGGAGCCAAACTGAACTTCTAATTTGTCTTTTAACCATTATTTTGTCTATTCATTAAGCTTAATAACCGAATTACAAATCATGCTGCGTATATGACATAAAGCAGAGCTAGCGGTTTACCTTTGATTTTTCAATTGGGTTGAATTTGATGGCAGTCGCCTTACAGCAAGGCATATAGCCAGCCGATGCTGTGGTTTTGTCGAGGCTACCGGAATTGCTTGAATAGACAGGTTGTTGTGGGTGAAATGCGCATGCTCCAAAATCCGTGCATGGGAAAGTCTCTTGGCACCGCGAACAATGGAGATAGTTAATGGTTCCCCATATTCTAGAATTACGACAAAAAATCACGTTTACGGAGGATAAACAGCAGAATTCAAGAAGAACAGCTACGTTAATTGCCTTTATTGTCCCTTTGATATAGAACAAGTCGGCCACACATTGAAATGTCGCCCTCACATTGAAATGTCGGCCACACATTGAAATGTCGCCCTCACATTGAAATGTCGGCCACATATTGAAATGTCGCCCACACATTGAAATGTCGCCCTCACTTTGAAATGTCGGCCACACATTGAAATGTCGCCCTCACATTGAAATGTCGGCCACACATTGAAATGTCGCCCACACATTGAAATGTCGCCCTCACATTGAAATGTCGGCCACACATTGAAATGTCGCCCTCACATTGAAATGTCGGCCACACATTGAAATGCCGGCCACACATTGAAATGTCGGCCACACATTGAAATGTCGGCCACACATTGAAATGTCGGCCACACATTGAAATGTCGGCCTCACATTGAAATGTCGGCCTCACATTGAAATGTCGCCCTCACATTGAAATGTCGGCCACACATTGAAATGTCGGCCACACATTGAAATGTCGGCCACACATTGAAATGTCGGCCACACATTGAAATTGAATTTCACATATTAATTGTTTTTTATAAGGCGTTTGGTTATGTTCAGCTTCTCCTTCTGATTCGCTTTCCTTCTTTTCGGCTTGCACAAAATAGCTCGCAATGTCCTCGGATGTAGGGCTCCGTAACACCAATCAATTAAAACAAATTTTCTAACCAGCCAGTGATTGGCTGGTTCTTCTACGAATTGAATTATGCTTTTCCGGAAGCTTGCCACCCCTTGCCACTCCATACCCTTGCTCTCCATACCCTGCACCAAAAGTTTGCACGACTATTGATAAGGCAGTCCTGTCGCGCTCAAGGGAGTGGCTGTGATCCATGAACAATAGCTCATCTCGCCTTACACGGCATTACGACTGCTTGCTTTGGCAAGTTCTAATCTGCAGGTAGGGGAGAATTTTGAAACTGCGAGGCCAAAAGGTATTATCGGAAATGAGCAAGAAGATTGATTACTGAACTGGAATTGAATGATTGATAATGGAAGCATTCTTTTTCCCTGTTGGGACATATCTGTAGTAGAAACCAAACAAGGGGAACAAAGTTTCTAGCCACAGTTTCACTACAACAAGAACACACCATTTTGGTTCAACACTCTAGAATCAAAGTATGTTCTCTTGATTGGTTTAAATCTTTTTAAATTTCGATCAAAGCTCAACGGAATGCGATGAATTATCACTACCTGTGGGACAGTATAAAGTTGAGCACAATAGGGGGACATGGGGGGACTAGCCTTTAAATTGCTTTTGATTTGCTATTACATATGAGGCAGCAGTGACAGACCAATTACTTTGTATGTTCCTTTCAAAGGATCACCAGAAGATAGACGAAGAAAGTCGCTAGTCTCATTCACTGACAGCAATCGTTCATCCTCCATACAGCAGTGAAACAATATTTATTCAAGCCACAGTAACATATTGCCACCTTGGGGGGCACCAGTTTATTTTATAACGTCCTTTCCAACCTCCAAAAATGCAGGTTTCCATTTCGCAAATGGTGAGATGGTAGTCATTCCGCTGAAAATGCATGCAGGCCATGAAAATTGCAAAGAGTGCTTTGCTTCACATAACAAAGATTAGCGCTCATTGTTTATAAGACTAAACAGGATAACAAATATAATCAACATCTCCAGAGCGCACAATCTGCTACTCCTTGTCCGGATGTATTTCATCCGCGATTCGGGCAGTTATTAAACCTAGGTAGGCAGAATTTGGTTATATTCCTCTTTCACGGTTTGTGATTTTAACTTTCCACCTGAATTTACCCCTGAAAACCAATCTTTTCTTGTCAAGAGATTATTCACTCGTATCGTTGAGTTGCAGGATTGCTGTGCTCATTCAATCCAAACGTTTTCGATCGTCAGATCAAAAAGCCTTCTTTGTGTTTTGCCATTCCTCATAAATTTTGTGTGAAGTTGCAGGTATTATGGATCCTATAAATTTTCGATTACAACATTCATCACCATGTTCCTCGCGAGTCTCTCTCTTACGCCTTTCAGTTGATCTTCGGCAGTAATATCCAACTACAGACAAAATTTCGTATGCTGCTTGATGTGACCTATGTTTTCGAAAATTTTCCGAATAGAAGCCTCATATATAGATACTTATGGCATGCTTAGCATTATGCGTAATCATTACCGTACTCCATCAAAGTTTGCTGCATGTGTATTTAGTAATGGCAGCTGCCTTTATCTAGCGATTCTTCATCAGATACAATCTTATCTTCAGTTGTTTTGCAAGGGCAAAAGGCAATCGGGACTGCAAGGGGTATTTGTAAGGCTTTGTCTAATTAACGGATCCTTTTTCTGTTGACGGTGGTTGAACAACAAGTTTTCAAAACTCTCATATTTCAAGAACATGCCGTAATTTTTGAATCTATGTCACTGTTCCAATGATTCTCCCCCCCCCTAGAGATTTCTCTCGCCCGAAACTTCGGCATAAGTGAGAAACTGGACAAAAGTAACTACAATCCCAGATTAGAGCAATTTACCAAATTTTTAAGTGTGATGCGATAAACAGTTCAATTAGCCACATCGCATAGTTTTTGGACTTTGGCTCACCTATATCATAGAACCCCTCTCCCCCCCCCCTCCTAAACGTCAAGCACATCAAATCTAATCTACATCAAGTATGTCAGAAAGTAGTTGTCTGGTTAATGCCAGCTCAGTGATTGATGCTCCCCCTTCGGCCTCTGGTCTATGTTGCATGTTAATTGCAGTCTTTAGGAAGGTGTTTGCCTAGATATGTAGCAGTTCTCTTTCAGGGAGATGTTTACATAGCTCAGATTGAAGATAATGATAGGTCAGGATCCTTTTAGAAAAGTACAGTGTTTTTTACACTGGCATGGCATTGCCAAAATTATGGCTGAAATTTCATTCTAGCATTTTAAATTACGATTTCATTAGGTCACAGCGAAGAAAAGCACTGAATCTTCTGAAGCTAACGTTTTTCATAGAAAACATGTACGTATGAAGTCGATATCACTTGTTAAATGGACACTTACAGGTTCTCTTTAATTTTCCAATCTTTGATTTCCTTGGTAAAATTCTTCGAAACTCTTTTCTTGTTGTAAGCAAACTATTTTATGCAAGAAATTTGAAGAGCTTTCTGTAGTCCAGATTTCGGAAGTGAGAGACTGTCCTTCAACGCAAGCACAATGTTTCGGTATTGTGTTCTCTTTTTAATGCGTTTTCATTCTATTTATCTTGACTTAGGAAGTACAACTTAAGAGCAATTCTTAACTACTTTGATATATAAGAGGTTCTAGATTTTGTTTTCATATTTTACTTTCAGTGCATATATTGGTGAAAAACTGCTAACAGCCAAAGGTTTCATTCTAAAGATCGACATGCACGCCGGATCGGGACAATTAATAGATAACCGAGGAACCTGAGCTACGGCCATTCCGGTCAGTGTCACACTTTCACTTTTGTTCCGTGTTTGGTTAAGATGTGCGAGTATAGAGCTGTTTTTTATGTGGACTGTTGCTTTGAAAAGTATCGAAATGCTGAGTGCAGACACTAGAAACCTTATTTATGATTCCAACTGTTAGTTAAAGCAGTCTCCTGAGCTGGGCGTGTGTGTTATTGGGACCTCACTCGTTTTTCAGATCGAAATACAGTAGAACAACATAACATTTCAGGAATGCAAGTTATTAGCCGTGAGATTTTAAGATTAAAGGGTAGAGTCAAAAAGGATAGCGTTCAAATGGGAAAAACTTTTGCAGACTTATTTCCCTCTTTACGTCATATTTTTTTAAAAAGGTTTTGCTAAAGATGGATACATGGCGAATCGACTTGCCTCTTGATAACCTTCACATGTCAAATAAAGTGCCTAGAGAATCTGCATATCTGCATTCAATGGCAATTTAGGTGCGATTGGCAAATTTTTAGGGGTGCTAAAACCATAAAGCATTTAGACTATTTTTTATTAATTGTATTAGCGTAGTTTTCTCCTTCACAGCGACGAAGATTGGAGATATAAATGGACTACTTGTTGAACTTCGAAAGGCTTGTTAAAGACTTGAGAAATGTTTACTGGACGGTTACGTTTGTATTGCCGATGTATCAATATGTGGCGACATTTCAATGTGGGCGACATTTCAATGATTGGCGACATTTCAATGTGAGGGCGACATTTCAAGTGTGGCCGACATGTTCAATGTGTGGCCGACATTTCAATGTGTGGCCGACATTTCACTTGATCATGGGGCGACATTTCAATGTGTGGCCGACATTTCAATTTGCGGGCGACATTTAATGTTGGCCGACATTTCAATGTGTGGCCGACATTTCAATGTGTGGCCGACTTTCCAATCTGAGGGCGGACTTCAATGTGTGGCGACATTTCAATGTGTGCCGACATTTCAATGGTGATTAATTGAGGCGACAGTTTCATTATCATCACATAATTTCCGCATTAATGTGTGGCCGACTTCAATGTGTGGCGACATTTCAATGTGTGGCCGACATTTTCAATATGGGGCGACATTTCATGTCGTGGCCACATTTCAAAGTGAGGGCGACATTCAATGTGTGGCCGACATTTCAATCTGAGGGCGACATTTCAATGTGTGGCCGACATTTCAATGTGTGGCCGACATTTTCAATGTGTGGCCGACATTTCAATGTCCATATCATGATGTAGGGCGACATTTCAATGTGAGGGCGACATTTTCAATGTGTGGCCGCACAGTATGCAATTTCAATGTTGGAGGGGCGACATATTCAATGTGTGGCCGAACATTTCAATGTGTGGCCGACATTTCAATGTATGTGGCCGACATATTCAATGTTGTGCCGACATTTCAATGTGTGGCCGCACAGTTTGCAATGTGTGGCCGACATTTCAATATGAGGGCGACATTTCAATGTGTGGCCGACATTTCAAGTGAGAGGGCGACAACTTTTCATGTGCTTGGCCGACATTTCAATCTGAGGGCGACATTTCAATGTTGTGGCCGAACATTTCAATGTGTGGCCGACATTTCAATGTGTGGCCGACATTTACATTTGTGTGGGCGACATTTCAATTGAGGGCGACATTTCATGTGGTGGCCGACATTTCAATGTGTGGCCGACATTTGAGGGGCGACATTTCATGTGTGGGCGACATTTCAATGTGAGGGCGACATTTCAATGTGTGGCCGACATTTCAATGGTGTGGCCGACCATTTCAATATGAGGGCGACATTTCAATGTGTGGCCGACATTTCAATGTGTGGCCGACATATCTCAATATGAGGGCGACATTTCAATGTGTGGCCGACATTCAAAAGTTTAGAGGGCGACATTTCAATGTGTGGGCCGACATTTCAATCTGAGGGCGACATTTCAATGTGTGGCCCGACATTTCAATTGTGTGGCCGGACATTTCGATGTTGTGCCGACATTCAAGTGGGTGGGCGACATTTCAATGGTCTGAGGGCACATTTCAATGTGAGGCGACATTCAATGTCGTGGCCGACATTTCAATGTGTGGCGACATTTCAATGTATGTGGCCACATTTCAATACTGAGGGCGACATTTCAGATGTGTGGGCGACATTTCAAATGTGTGGCCGACATTTTAATGTCGTGGCCGACATTTCAATGTCGTGCAGTGATGTGGGCACATTTCAATGTGAGGGCGAAATTTCAATGTAGTGGGCGACATTTCAATTGTGTGGCCGAACATTCAATTCAATGTCATGTGGGCCGACATTTCAATGTGGGGGCGACATTTCAATGGTGGCGACATTTCACATGCGTGGGCGACATTTCAATGTGTGGCCGACATCTCAAGTGAGGCCGACATTTCAATGTGTGGCGACATTTCAATGTGAGGCCGACATTTCAGATGTGAGGCCGACATTTCAATGTGTGGCGACATTATTTCAATGTGTGGGCGACATTTCAATGTAGGGCGACATTTCAATGTGTGGGCGAACATTTCAATGATGGAGGGCGAATTTCAATGACGTGTGGCGAACATTTCAATGTGTGGGCGGAATTTCAAATGTGTGGCCGACATTTCAATGTGGGCACCGACAG